TTCTCAACCTGCGGGTCGCGACCCCTTTGGGGGTCGAACGACCCTTTCACAGGGGTCGCCTAAGACCATCGGAAAACACATATATAATTGCATATTGTTTTTGTGATTAATCACTATGCTTTCATTATGTTCAATTTGTAACAACGAAAATACATCCTGCATATCAGATATTTACATGAGGATGCATAACAGTAGCAAAATTACAGTTATGAAGTAGCAACGAAAATAATTTTATGGCTAGGGGTCACCACAACATGAGGAACTGTATTAAAGGGTTGTGACATTAGGAAGGTTGAGAACCACTGAACTAGAGATTCCTTGGTGCAAATTATCCCTAAACTGTGAGAAGAACAGGGAGGAGGGGAATACAAGAATGTAGCCTTGAGAGTAGCTTAACTTGTCCTGCCCAATGGTTTGAATCAGAGGAGCCAATAATCTTGTGGTTTTATTACCAGGTGCTTCTCATAAATTACTACTAATAATAGACAAACATGGTAATTAACCATACTTTCGCTACCATTGCCATTGGCTGATCAGCGCTATATGCAAATTAACCACCAACAAAGATGGTGGCTAATTTGCATGCTGCAGGCAGGGCAGGACAACGGGAGCCACCATCCAGGCCCCTGTGTTTGACCCCAGGAGCCGCCAGAAAGCCAGTCTGCATTCAAGGCGCACCCCGGGACCCAGGAGCCCGTTGGGGAGGTCTGCAGGCGAAGCAGCGATCAAGCTATGAGGGGAGGGTCGGGGGCTGAAGGAGCTACAGGAGCAGCTCTGGCCGGAGACTGAAGACTCTGGCCAGAGCGAGGAGTAAAGAGTGAAGGCTCCAGCCACAGCGAAGACTGTCCAGAGCGAAGATGGAAGGCGGTGGCCAGAGTGAAGGTCTGGGTCCCGGGTGCCAGAGGAAAACTGGTGCTGGCAGCCAGGGGAAAGAAGGCCTATTGCACGGATCTTCGTGCACCCAGCCTCTAGTTCTAGTAAATTATAAAAGGCCCCAGAAAAGGAAAAGAAAAGCCTTTTTCCTGTCCTTACAATTTGTTTGTTTTTTAGGATTTATAGAATGCCTATAGCACTGCAGACACTACCACCAGTTCCTTCTCATTAATCGTTTACTACACCCACATGGAGTAGACATTATTCTCACTTTATAAAGGAGGCAATTGGGGTTTAGCAAGGTTAAGTGACACATCTTGTAAGGGTTGAACTTTGATTTCAAATGTTCCCCAGTTTCCATTTTTCTAAGCCCTCGTGAATATCTTTCTCAAGGAGTGGGAAGAGTAGCCATCAGCGTATTTTTAGAAAGCAACTGTCTAAGCTCTTGCCTGCATCGAAAGTGACAGTGGTCAGTGGCGCTGGGGCAGGCTCCTGGTCTGTGCGCACGGCACCTGGGCATCATTCGCAGAGGGTGGCCCTTCCCAGTTGTCCTGGGAGGTGTGAGAGAAGGGCTGCTCCTGGGACCCGGGATCCAGAGGGGGGTGCGGGTACCCAGGTGTCCGGGAGCTGGACCGGTGCCTGACCCAAGAGGAAGCACTCAAACATCAAAAGTTAAGATTTATTTAGTATTTACTCTGTTCTATATTCATTAGTTGTGTTTCCTGGTTTAATCTTCACAATTTGTTTTTGCTTTTTTAAATTTAATTTAATTTTATTTTTTAAAATATATTTTATTGATTTTTTACAGAGAGGAAGGGAGAGAGATAGAGAATTAGAAACATCGATGAGAGAGAAACATCGATCGGCTGCTTCCTGCACATCTCCTACTGGTGATGTGCCTGCAACCAAGGTACATGCCCTTGACTGGAATCGAACCTGGGACCTTTCAGTCCGCAGGCCGACGCTCTATCCACTGAGCCAAACCGGTTTCGGCTTGTTTTTGCTTTTATTTTATAGATGAGAAAATTGATGCACAAGAGTTAATTAACTCGCCAGGGATCGCAGCAGTAACGAGACTGGAGCTCTGCAGGTCCTGCTCTCAAACCCTCCATTGGTCAGATAAATGCGTCAAGGTCTGGGATCGTGAGAGATGAGCGTGTTCAATTTCCTGAATATAAACTTACCAGCCTATTTACCCAGTGTTAATTTTTCTGTTTGTTTTTTTAAAAATCCTTACCTAAGGATATGTTTTTACTGATTTTGAGAGAGAGAGAGGAAGGGGGAGAGAGACATGATGTGCGAGAAACATTGGTTGGTTGCTTCCTGTATTCCCCCAGGGGGAACCCAACCCGCCACCTGGGTGTGAGCCCTGACTTGGACTCCACCGGCAATCCTGGGTCCGAGGCAGGACCCTCCAACCACTGACCCGCCAGGCCAGGGCGGATGTTCCTGTTTCTTTGATGCAGTGGGTGGTTTTGCAATTGACAGTGAATATGGGCCTGTTTCACCTAAGAATTCCCCGTGCCCGGGTTCTTTGTGTAGAATTAATCTAACGTGTTTCAGCGTCCTGGACTTCTTGCAAAACTGCGCGCGGTGCAACCCAGCCCCAAAGACAAGGCGCTTCTGCGGGCCCGTGCTGAGCCGGCAGCCGGCAGCGCCCCTGCCCAGGAGGCCGGGACAGGCAGCGGTGCACAGTTACAAACATGCCACGGTGACCTCGGTGACCTCGGTGACCTCGGGGCCCCCAGCCCGGGGGTGGGGGAACAGGCGCGGAGCCTACCCTGGCGCCCGCTCACTGCCTCAGTTTACCTCCTCTCTATGCTGGCGCGTCCGGCTCCTTTCCTGCCTGTGTGAGCAAAAGTAACGCGTCTCCTCCCGCGCTGGGGCTAAACCCACAGGACAGGCCAGCGGGGCGCGGCAGGGGGGGGGACCCGGAGGGGGGGCACCCGGAGGGGAGGGCAACCGGCGGAGGGGAGCATCCCTGTCGAAGGCCCTCGTCTTTTTTAACATATTTTATTGATTTTTTGCAGAGAGGAAGAGAGAGGGATAGATGAGAGAAAATCGATCAGCTGCGGGTAACCAAGGTACATGCCGCGGGGGCCGTGGGGCGTGGCCTCGGGGCGTGGCCTCGGGGCTTGGCCTCGGGGGCGGGGCCTCGGGGGCGGGGCCGCGTGTGACGGGCGCGTCGCTCGGAGGGTGAGTGACGCAGGCCCCGCCCCGCTCGCGGCGCTGACGTGTCTACGGCGCTTCCTCCTCCGCGTGGCCGCGTGGGCGCCTGCGGGGCGGGCTGGCGGCGGCTCCCCGCCCGGCCCTCCCGGCCCCCGCCCCGCCCCCGCCCAGCGGGTATAAGTGCGGAGCGGCCCCGCCGAGCCAGCCCGGGACGCCGTCGCGCCGAGGTCGGTCGCCGAGAGGCCCCGCCGCCGGGAGGGACGAGGCCGCCGGCGCGGGGCGGGGCGGGGCGGGCGCGGTGGAGCCGGTGCCCCACGTGGACCGGGACGGGCTGGGCGACCTGACGCCGGCCGCGGCTGGGAGGGGGTGGCGGCGCCGGGAGCGGGTCCTGACGGTGACAGCGGTTCCGAGGGCGCCGCCCGAGGACGTGGCCGGAGGTGCGTGGCGGCGGAGGGCGCCGCGTTGGCAGGGACCCGAGCCGCCTGGGTTTGGGGGGGCGCCGCCGGTAGGTCCGCGCTGCCCCGCGTGGCCCCCGCTGCGCAGGTGCCGCTCCCGCGCTCGTGGGGATCGGCGGGGAGCGGGGCCGGGATCGGCGGGGAGCGGCGCCCGCGTGGCTCGGGCGCGCTGGGGTGGGACCCGGACATCACAGAGCCGGGCCGGCTGGGCTCAGTGGCTGAGCTCGGCCCGCGGCCGGAAGGGTCCCGGGTTCGTTCCCGGGCAAGGCTGTACCTGGACCTGGTGTGTAGGCTCCAGCCTCAGCCCCAGCCCCGGCGGGCGCGGGGGGCAGCCCGTGGACGGGTCTCTGCCTCCCCTGCCCTCCCGCTGTCCGGAGCCAGCGGGCAGTGTCCTTGGTGAAACCGTAGATGGTTAGTCCCTCCCGCACCGCAGGGCGCTGCTTACCTGGGAAGGTTTGCCTTCTGGGCTCTGCGGGCGCGGGGGGCGAGGGGTCTCGGCGCAGGATCAGAGTTGTCTAATTTGCGAGGATTCATTTTCTCAAGCCTCGGAACTTGGGGAGGTATCTAAGGGCTTTTTGGAAAAGTTTGACTTGTATCTTAAAATGCCGTCATACTGTGCTTGCACGTTGAGGAGGCAGAGCCCTCTGCACTGTGAGCTGTGTGTGCACCCTCAGGTGGAGGGTCCAGCAGTGGGGAGCTGAGGGGGAGGACCTGGCTCCTTCCCTGGCTCCCTGCTGAGCTTCCCCAACCTCAGGAAAGACTGCGTTGCTTGGAAAATGGTTTAATAGAAACTCTCAGCTGCCTTTTTTACTTGGTAATTTTAAAGCTAAGTAATGGCACCCTATCTCCTGACACCTATAGAAAGGCCTTCTAAAACCTGTGCGTCCCAGGCTCCGTGCTGCCCCTTGCTCTAGTTTCCACCTGCCCCCCCTGGGGCCTCATGGAGCTTGGAGCTCGTGTCCTGGGCGCTGGTGACCTCTGAACTCCCATCTCAGACCGACCATGACCCGAAGTGGAGATGGATTCTCTCACTCTGAACACATCCCTACGTCTGGGCCTGTCCGTGTGTCCCCGCTCAGGACCAGGGACCACTGCAGTCGCTGCTGGATGCTGTGGTCCTCTAGGCCGCCCCAGAACCGCCTTCACCTTGGTGCTGAGCCCCGGCCACCTCTCCTCTAGGTGACTCCGTGGTTCCCTGACGGTCTGCTGGCCGCTTTTCCCCACACAGCAGCGAAGTGAACCTTTAAAACCCGAATCAGACCAAGATGCTGCCCTCGGCATCCGGGGCCCTCGTGAAGTGGCTCCAGCTTCATCACCCTTCGCGCTGTCCTTGAACAGCCAACCACGTGCCTGTGCTGCGGCTGCTGCACCTGGAGCTCCGCAGCTGGAGGCTCCTCCCCAAGGTGCTGGTCATTCAGGTGTCTTGGCAGAAGTCTCAGCGAGGCCCTGCTAACCACACCGGCTGGGGACTGGCTGCCCCCCTCCCCCTGCGGGCCCCCCCCCCCTTTTTCACCGTCCTGCTTTGCTTGTCTTCATAGCATTGCCTCGTCACACTCCTGACACTGCACCTGTCTCTCCCACGCTGGGGTGTGGGCGTGTGCAGAGTTGCTTGGTCCACTGCTTTGTCCATCACCTGGCTGACCGTGGTACTCATGATATCTTTGTCACACGAACTAATGGCAATGACAGTCCATAGTTTTCCTCTTAAAGTCTCCCGCAGTATCTGCATATTCCAGGACCTGCTGGAGGAACCTGCTCATGCACGTAGGTGAGAGGTGGCTGGGCCCTCGTCTGTCCTCCACCAGCGGCAACACAGGGAACAGCAGCAGCCTTAGCCCTGCGTCCGCTCCTGGAATGCTTTATTCACTGGGTTATGGTCATGCTCTTCTCACTGGCTGGACTTCTCTCTGTTCTTGTATCCTTGACAAACTTCATCCTCCAAAGCCGGACTCCGACAGTGGCCACCCTCGTGTTCAGGAGGCCGTCGCTCTGGCCTGGGGCGCACGTGCTTTTACACGAGAGCATGTAGGAGGGCTTCCTGGGTGCCGCGTGCAGGCTGAATGCTCAGCATGGCACTGGCTCATCGATCCTCTTCACCTTCGCGTGAGCACGCTCTCATCTTGCTTTGCAGATGAGGAAGATGAGGCCACTTGCTCCAGGCCACAGAGTTAGCAGATAGTGGAGCTGGGGCACGGCCCCAGCCGGTCTGACCCCAGAGCCCGCTCTGGTTAATACCCCCAACTGTACGTGAGGCCTTCACTGAGCGGCTAGTATTTCCTCTGCTTTTTTGAGAGATGCTGCCGATTGTGGAAAGGTCTTAGGTATTAGGGTCAGGGTTAAAATTCTGGGTTAGAATTCCTGTTCTATCTACGAGGTAAGTAGCCTTGGGCAGAGTAGTTAGCCTCTTTGAGCCTCATTTTCTCATCAGTTATAAAGATTATTTTATTTATGCCTTTGAACTTCTGTGAGGGAAATTTCATTGTTCCCATTTCACAGATGAAGGTACCAGAGTTGAATGGATCTGCTCATTGGCCCAAGCAATAGAGTCCCAGGAGTAAAAGTAGGTTCTGTTTGGTTCCCAAACCCATAAAGTCCGACTTCAGGCTGGAGTGTGTGCGGGGCCTCTGAGGACGCTGGTCCTGGCAGATGGAGACCGAAGGGAGGCGGTGGAGGGTGGTTAGGGTCTCGGCACAGTACGGTAGAGCTGTCCCGTGTCATCAGCAAGCCTTCGTTTTCATTTCATGGTCAAGCCTCAGTGTGGTCGCAGATCAGTGTGACTCGGAAAGTGTTTTACTGCGGGTGTCATTCCTTCACGCTGTCCCGTAAAGCTCCTCACCCACGGGCCCGGGCCTTCTCTTCCTCTCTCCGTTTCACTGACATTTTTGCAAAGTGAGTCAGCTACAAGAACATCAAGTGTGTCTGTATTCCTGACTGAACGCCGTGTGAATAACGTGTGTCTCTCGTGCGCACACACAGATACAGTCTTTGCCTGGCAGGCAGGGTAGCTCGGCCGTGAGAGCGTGGACCGAGCTGCCTCTGAGGTGGGGTCCCAGCTTTCCCAGCTCAGGGCCTGGCCATGTCTCTGGCTCTATTTCTTCCTGCAAAGTAGCCCCATAGCAGCATGGCAGTTGTCCTGCGGACTCGAGGCACCGTGTGTGCGGAGCAGTTAGGGTGCTGCCCGTGAGCGCACGTGGTGGGTGTGCGTGGTGCTGCTCAGGTCCTGTTGGAATGGCGTGGATGCCCCCTCTCGCCGTCCCCACGGTGCATACGGCGGGCGGTGTCCTTGGTGCCTTCCCTTCCGAGCTGAGCCGTCACTGCCCAGTGATGCCTTCACAGTGACCCGCCTGCTTCCTTGGCGCCCGTCGCCCGGTCCTTGTGCCTGTGTGGCCGTCCCTCGTGGCCCTGCTCGGGTTGGCCTCTGCGCCTCGGTTCTCTCTGAAAGTGCTGCTGCCTGTTCAGAGGGCTGCTGTTGGCTTCCAGGACTCTGGTTACTTAGTTTTCAGGGCTCTTGGCATTTGCCTCTAGCCCAACCCACATCCCTCCCGTCATCCACACAAGACGCCCACACAGGCCTGCTCCAGTGGCCGCCAGCTGTGCCTCCTCCTATCTCATCTGTGTCATCTGCTCGGCCCTCCAGGCACAGCTGTGTGCACTTCCGCTCTGAACTCTCCTTTTCTCTGTGAGGTGAGTAGGTTACCTACTTCCTCATTCTTTTCTAGCGCTGTGCCGATGAACATTTTGCTGTATTGTCACGGAATGCTCTCAGAAAACATTCTCTTACCCATTGCTGGTTCTGTGTGTATTGCATGTCCCCTTAGGGTTCCATTCTTAGTAAAGAAAATGCGCATGTTTTTATCCCTTTTTTGCAGAAGTTATGATTGAAATAAAATTGATTCTGTATGGTCCTGTCTTGAATTTTGTTGTATTCTGAATACAACGGAGTTATTGCCGTCACTAGAGATTAAAGGAGGACACGGACTGTTAGGCTGTCAGACATTCTTTCAGTGATGGCTGAGTGGTCAGAGGAGCCATACAGAGGAGAGGTAACCACGGGTGGCGTGTGCGCCGGGAATCAGTCTGTCGGGGCTCCTGTCCCAGCTCCGCCACCTGAGGGAGACCATGTGGTGGAGTGATTAGTGCAGTGCCCGGCATGAGACTCTCAGTGCTGTCTTACAACTTCGGGGTCTTCAGGTACTGTGAGGACAGGCCGCAGTCATGTCTTAACAGCAAGTTTGTTTACTGTACTTACTTATCATAGGAAAAACCTACCAGGTTTCATGGCTGGACTTTGACCTGCTGTTGATTTCTTTTCTCTTGTAGGTTTCTAGGTGCAGAAATCGCACCCCTGTTTTCACAAAGCGTGGCCCCAGGCATCATGAACGTCAGTGATCTCAGACTCCGCTTGTCCCAAGCTGGGCAGGAACACCTGCTGCAGTTCTGGAATGAGCTGGAGGAAGCCCAGCAGGTAGAGCTCTATGCAGAGCTCCAGGCCATGAACTTTGAGGAGCTGAACGTCTTTTTCCGAAAGGCCACTGAAGGGTTTAACCAGTCCTCCCAACAAGAGAAGGTGGATGCGCGGATGGAGCCTGTGCCCCGGGAGGTGCTGGGCAGTGCCACTAGAGACCAGGACCAGCTCCAGGCCTGGGAAAGTGCAGGTACTGGTGGGGCATGGGCTGCTCTGAGGGTAGGTGAGCTCCTCTAACACTGGACTCTCATACGCCCGTCAGCCAGGCGGCCTCAGAAAGTGACGATTGTGCTTGTTTTGCCAAGACCTGTGCAGTGTCTCCCGTGGTTGGTCCCTGCATTCTCTGTTCCTTCCGGTGCCGAAGCCGAGCCTCCTCATTCCAGTCTTCAAATGCCTCTGGTCTCTTCCTCCGCTTTCATGCTTCTAGGTTTCCCTTCCTGAAGCTCAGGTTGCATGTTTATGCTGCTTGAACGCAACACCATCCTCCGCTGGCCTGAGTGGTCACTGGCAACCCTGTCTCCACTGGTCCTCTGCACTGCTGCTGCCGCACATGTCAGCCTGGCCGGTAGTTAGCTCTCCGAGCCTCTGCTCACGCGGTCCTGCCTGAAGTGCTGGTCTTCGGGCCGCGAGGCCACCCCTGGAGCACTGCCCGTGGGGAGCTCTCGCCCTTCTCTCGGCCTCAGCACGCCTGCCCTCATCCGCCTGTGGTGAGGGTTGTTCTCGTTGCCTTCACTGCACTTCGGCTGCTGTAGAGCAGCGGGTCCTTGTCCTCGGCAGGACACATGGCACTTAGGACAGGGTTTTGAGCAATGAGCTGGTTGATGTTTGTTGAATGGCCCAGTGCTTTTTCTTCTAAAGCAGATCCTAAAAGCCGTCCCTCTATCGAGGACTAGGTAATGCTTTCGAGAATGACTCAGTAGCTCAAGTGTTGCTTTTTTTTTTTTTTTTAAATATATTTTATTGATTTTTTACAGAGAGGAAGGGAGAGAGATAGAGAGTTAGAAACATCGATGAGAGAGAAACATCGATCAGCTGCCTCCTGCACACCTCCCACTGGGGATGTGCCCGCAACCCAGGCACATGCCCTTGACCAGAATCGAACCCGGGACCCTCCAGTCCGCAGGCCGACGCTCTATCCACTGAGCCAAACCGGTTTCGGCGCAGTGTTGCTTTCTTGGTGGAGTTAAGAGCTGTGCTTTCTATGACCTTCTCCTCTGGAAGGAAAGGGTGGCTGAGCCCTGAGCCCAGGCCCGAGTGTCACATGTGCTCCGTCTGGTCTGGGCCTCGTTTTCTCAGTGAACAGACCGGCCTGGGTCTGTTCCTTCCTTTCTAATAAACATCACTGTACTGCAGAAGTCACATCAAATACCAGGGGTCCTGTAGGGAGAGGGCCTGGAGCCTCAGCAGACTGTCGCTACTCGCTCCTGCCACCATCCTGGGCTTGATCACTTCCATGCTTGCTCTTCTCGATGTGCGGTAACGTTACAGCTAGGACCTTACAGTCCGTATTTGTACCACACTGGCTGTTTTTCTTTTCCGTTCTTTGGCACTTCCTGCTCCTCACACACAATAAAGAAAGACACTGTCCACCTTCTGTGTAGCTCGTATGTTTCTCTGAGCTTACAGATTACCTGATTTTCAAACTGTTCCAAAGGGCCCCAGGGTTCCGCGCCCAGGAAACTGTCCCCTGACTCGTGTAGGGCGGGAAGCAGAGTCTACACAGGTGGGTCTCCAGCCCCTTCACCTCCCCCTGCCAGAGCAGTTCTGCTCGACCTGTTCTGTGTGTCTGATCTTTGCATGAGTTTTATTTAAAAGGAGTTAGAGGCCAAATCGGTTTGGCTCAGTGGATAGAGCGTCGGCCTGCAGACTGAAGGGTCCCAGGTCCAATTCCGGTCAAGGGCATGTACCTTGGTTGCGGGCACATCCCCAGTAGGAAGGTGTGCAGGAGGCAGCTGGTTGATGTTTCTCTCTCATCGATGTTTCTGACTCTCTATCCCTCTCCCTTCCTCCCTGTAAAAAATCAATAAAATATATTTTAAAAAAATAAAAAAAAAAAATAAAAGGAGTTAGAGATGAAAAAACATTGGCAATAGTCAGGAAGCTGCAAGGGCAGCTCTGAAATGCTTGGCAGCGACTAACCTCGCTTCGTGCCGAGAGAGTGGCGTCAAGATGGACCCTCTGCACAGAGATCCTGGAACCAGAGTGGTACCGGGATGCCTGCTGGCTTGGACTTGCCAGTCCTTCCTACTTCCCTGCGTTCTAAAGGCTGTGCCAACCAGAAGCCGCGCGGCCTCTCGTGCCCCGCGAGTATCCCAGCAGCCATGTTTCTCCTGGTAGTTTTATGGGGTGAAGTTTTTGAATAAACTCGTAGGGGAGTTGAGCTGTGACCTTGTAAAATGGACCATGAGCACTTGTCAAGGCTTCTTGTAACTTGAGTCTTTTTTACAACCTTCTTGTTGGAATCTGTAACAAGATTTTAAATTTCCTTTAAAATTAGACTGAACTCTGACAACCTAGCCTAGTATAAAAGAAGGTACAAAGCAAACTTCCTGTTGGCTTGCTGTCAGGGAACAGTGTTTACTGCGGTTTAAACAGGAGGGTGGAGAAGGAGACGCTTAACTGACCTGAATCCTTTTCCCTCAGCAGAAACTCCCACGTATGCGCAGCCATGACAAAGTGAGGCTCTGCAGGCAGTTGTCACGGGGAAGAGATTGCCGTTGGGAAGAGTATGATGTTATGTGTCAGAAAATAGGAGGTCCTGGTAGATCATTGTTACCCCATGAGTGGGGCAGGAGGGAGCAGTGTGCAGTGGTCCCACAGTGCCTGGCGCTCGGACGTGGTGATGGACGTGCAGCACTGGGTGCGAATCACTCCTGCCGGCTCTGTGCGTGCGTGACGCCCACAGTGCTGCTAGGTGCCGGAGACGGTGCTGTAAGCGAGGCCTTGAAGTGCTCTGGCCAGGTGGAGGAGCAGCCAAAAAGCTCGTCTCACAGCGTGAGCCCTTGACGGGGCAGCGGCTTCAGCCAGAAGTCACTGGGAAAGACGTGCTGGGAAAGTGTATTTGCTTAGTAAACCGCCCTTCATTTTTAAGTAACACCCTGCTTATACCAAGCACAGGAGAATCTTCCAGTGTCATGTTATTCTGGCAGCTTAGCATTTGGTATCAGCTCTTTTTGCCTGGGAGACATTTGGAACAGTCACCCTCAGGGTGGCTCTCTGCATGCGGTGCTGTGGTAGCAAGTGGGCGTGTTGTCTGGAAACGTGGTCAGAAGGTGCCCCTGAGCAGTTTCTGTGATTTAGTGCAGAGGGTGACCCTCAGGGCTGGGTCCTGAAGTGCTGACGTTTAGAGAGAGGGGAAAGGAGAGAGGGAAACATCGATGTGAGAGAGAACATCAGTCAGTTGCCTTCTGTACGTGCCCAGACAGGGTCAAGCCTGCAACCTTTCGGTATACGGGACAACGTTCCCACCGAGCCACACCGGCCAGGGCTGCAGTGACATTTTTAACAGATTGTTTTACTTTAAAAGTAGCTCATACCTGTTTTAGAGAAGTTGGAAAATAACTAAAAATTACAGAGAAATTTCTACCATCCCATAGTCCAGAGGTAAATATTCAGTGGTAATATTTTACAGCACTTTCTTAAACACACATACACAATTATGGTTTGTGTATAATTTTGTAGCCTGCTCTAAGAATTTGTTATTATGAAAAATGTCAAGCATATTTTGAAACAGATATTTATAGCGAAAAACAGTATCATGAACTCCCACACTCACATCACCTTGATTAAGTAATTATCAAACATTTTCGACTTTTGCTTTATCCCTCTTTTTCTTTTTCGGTGCTGTAGTATTTTAAGGCATACCTCCAACATCATGCTATTTTACCCTCATTGAGTTCAGCAGCATCACTGCTCACAATGTCACTTTTAAACGTAATGAAATTCACAGTAATCCCCCAGTAAAACTAAAACTAGTTCAAATAGAGGTTTCCTTCATTTGTCTGTTTAACTAATGTGCTTAACATTTTAGGGGAAATGGTTAATTTATAAAATCCTAGTTTCAGCTGTGATCAAAAGTTAAAGATGTAAAGTGTCTGTTCTGACTCCCCCCCATTCTCTCCTGGCGGAGTCGCCTGCCTTCCCCACCCTGTGCTGTTGGAGTGTCACGTCTCCACCTTCGCACCTGGCATCCTCCAGGTGAGACAGGTGCCCCAGTGAAGGTGTGTGAGAGGAGCTCATCCAAGCGGATGGTACCCAGGAAGTGGTAGAGCTGTGGCACGTCACTGTAAACCCTCCCGTTTTCTGTAAATTTTGCCAATTTTACTTAAGTTCCCAATGTACTAGTATATAAAAAATACATATGAAAAACACAGCCGGTGTGGCTCGGTGGTTGAGCCTGGCCCTGTGAACCAGGAGGTCACGGTTTGATTCCCAATCAGGGCACATGCCCGGGTTGCGGGCTTGATCCCCAGTGGGGAGTGTGTAGGAATTACCCGATGAATGATTCTCATCACTGATGTTTCTATCTCTCTTTCCCTCTCTAAAATCAATAAAAATATATTTTTAAAAAATGCATAAAGCACAAAGTTGGTAAGTTAGATGGACCCACATTACCTAAGGATCCTATATAATAAAAGGGTAATATGCAAATTGACCCTAACAGTGGAACGGCCAGGAATGACCGGTCGCTATGACATGCACTGACCACCAGGAGGCAGATGCTTAACAGAGGAGCTGCTCCCTGGTGGTCAGTGCGCTTCTACAGGGGGAGCGCTGCTCAGCCAGAAGCCAGCTCATGGCTGGCCAGCACAGCAGCAGTGGCAGAAGCCTCTTCTGCCTCCATGGCAGTGCTAACGATGTCCAACTAATGGCTTAGACCCGCTCCCAGTCAGACATCCCCTGAGGGTTCCCGGGCTGTCAGAGGTATGTCTGACTGCCAGCTTAGGCCTGGTCCCCCCCCGGGGAGCAGGCTTAAGCCGGCAAATGGACATCCCCCAAGGGGTTCCGGACTGCAAGAGGGTGCAGGCTGGACTGAGGGACCCCCACCCCCAGTGCACGAATTTTTGTGCACTGGTCCTCTAGTATGTAAATAAACAATAATTGATACCACTGCTTCATTCACAGAGTTTCTGAGAACTGTGTTTTGTAATCCTCACCTGAAGATAGGATATTTTTTCATTGATTTTTTTTTTTTAGAGAGAGTAGGGGGAGACAGGAGACGGGGAGAGAGAGAGAGAGAGAGAGAGAGAGAAAAGAAAAACCACATCGATGTGAGAGAGACACATGGATTGGTTACCTCCCATACATTAAGCCTGCAACTGAGATACATGCCCTTAACTGGGCTGACACTAACCACTGAGCAACAGCGACCAGGGCAATTTCTGAGAACTTTAATGAAAGTATGAAATTTAGGGAAGGAGAAAAGCCACCCCTCACTGCTTTCTCTCATCTAACACTTCCCAGCTCTTCCCAGCATCCACTCTGCCTCTTCTTCCCAGTCACTGCCTGGTGCCGAGGTGTCACCTTACCATGATGATGGGGTGGCTCTGAGACATGGTAGGCAGAGAGGTTTAAAAATATCAAAACTGAGGGCCTCTGTGGTTTGATAATAGTTTCATTTGTTTGCATTTGGATCTTAAATCAATCCTGAATTTATTCTTATTTGAAGAATAGTTTTTATTCAAGCATTGGTTATTACTTACTAGAGGCCCAGTGCACGAATTCGTGCACCAGTGGGGTTCCTTGGCCTGGCTTGTGGGTTCGGGCTGAAACAGGCTCTCCGACATCCCCCAAAGCGTCCTGGATTGTGAGAGGGCGCAGGCCAGGCCGAGGGACTCCACCGGTGCACGGTCAGGGCTGGGGAGGGACACGAGAGGTTGGCCAGCTGGGGAGGGACCGCGGAAGGCTCCAGGGAGTGTCCGCCCCATCTCGCTCAGTCCTGATCGGCCAGACGCCAGCAGTAAGCTAACCTACCAGTCGGAGCACCTGCCTCCTGGTGGTCAGTGCACATCATAGCGACTGGTTGACCAGTCGACTGTCTGCCCCTTGTGGTCAGTGCACATCATAGTGAACGGCTGAGTGGCCCTAGCATGTCATTAGCATATTATACTTTGATTGGTTGAACGGACGACTGGACACTTAGCATATTAGGCTTTTATTATATAGGATTGCTGAACATTCAGCTAGTGAAAACGGACAAGCTTCTAGCAGCAGAAATAAATCAGCAACAAAAAGACTCAGTTTCACATTCTGCTGCTGTGGATGATCCATTAAAAAGGCAGTTTAATCCATTTTATTGAAGTATAATTTATACACTAACATACTAGTCTTAGGAGTTTTAACAGATTTATACGCCCATGTAACCTGTCAGAAGAGAGAACATGCCCATCACCCAGCCTCCTGTCGTTCGCAGGCACACCCTAAGCTCACCCAGTCAGTGGGTTTCAGACCCGGGTCCTGACCTCAGAGTCTGGCTTCTAACCGCTGCACTGCACACGCTGTCCTCACTGAGGCTGCTTTTCTGTACATTTGCTGCATGGTGGCTGCCTAGGAGATTAGCGTGCTCGCGGATTGACCGATTAATGCTGAGTTATGTATGCGCTGGAGGTCATTGAGGAGCCTAGACATCTCCCGCCCCATCTTTGTCTCCGCTTGCCGAGGAGTCAGTACTCGTAAAACATGCGTAACATCTCTTGGTCGTCACCTTCCGGTGATCAGAAAGATGACCATTGGTTCATTGAAGTATATTACTTGGTGTTCGGTCCTTGGTTGGGTGTCTGTATAAATTAATTTTTTAATAATAAAAATGTTTTTATTACAAGAGTCACCACGATTAGTGTGGAGTCCTCGTTGGTTATGCAGAGGGCGGCCTCAGGGGCGGGCCCTGAAGCGCTGACGTGTAGAGCTTTCCTGACACCAGCGTTTTCTCTCCTAGGACTCCTCCACATTTCTCAGAACAGAGTGGCGGTTCTTCTTCTAGCCGGTGGGCAGGGCACGCGGCTCGGTGTCACATACCCCAAGGGGATGTATGATGTTGGCTTGCCCTCCCATAAGACCCTTTTCCAGCTTCAAGCGGAGCGAATCCTGAAGCTTCAGCAGCTAGCTGAGAAGCGCCATGGGAACAGATGCACCATCCCCTGGTAAGAGGCTCGTTGCGGGCCCCAGCATGTGAGCTGTATTCCTAAGCAGACATAGTTACTGCTGGCTTTATTGGGAGTTGTAATCACCACATGTGTGAAAGGTGACATGTATTGAGCCAGCAGGTGAGCACTGCAGCTTTAAGGAGCAGTGCGTTCTCCCCCGCGTCGACATCCTCACCAGAGTCCTTTGGGTGCAGTGGGTGCTCTCCATCTGGAAATCTCCTCCTCATTGGTGGTTTGTGTGTAGAATGTCTGAACGTTTGAATCTTTGGAATTTGGAGGCGGCTCTGGTTCCCGGTGCCATTCTGCTTTCTGTCTCCCCTCTCTGAGAGCGCTTAGGGCCTCTCCTCATCTCCAGGATCTGGAATTTCTTGACATGGTGTGGGTCTGTTTTCTGAGGGTTCTCTCAGCCTAGGAACTTGTGTTCTGAAGTTCTAGGTTATCTAGCCTTTCCGAACCCCCTCCCCCCGCCCCTCCCCTCCCTGGCTGAACGCTCCACTGACCTCTGCGGTGGGCCAGCCTGGGGTCTGGGGCCAGGCACCAGGTCTGCCTCCCCAGGGTCCTCCTGAGCCACCACCACGGTGGAGCTTCTGCTCTGCTCTTGGGAAGGTGTGGACGTAGCTCCTTAGTCTCTTTCCCCACAGCTTGGGATCAGCACGTTTTGTGGGGTGGCCCGCTGTGGGGGTGAGATTCCTCAGGTCCCTGATCCTGTAACAGCCCCATGTGACCAGCAAATACTCTGCTGGCTTCTCTGCCCATCTGCCTGGCCTGCAGGAAGAGGCCCCTGAAAGACCTTCCGGTCCCGCGGTCGAGTCTGGCCCGTGTTGCTTCCCACCGGCTCAGTGATTCCCCAGACGCCCGGGTCTTCCCACACAACTGCCGCTCCATCTGGGCCCCTGTGGGGACGTGGGAGGGACATGGCGTGCTCCGCAGCCAGCAGGACTCCCAGCTCAGGCCCCGGGGTTTGGCTTCCTTCTTTCCGCCCAGCTGCAAAGTTGTGTTTCTCTGCCACCTTCTAGATCCCACCCACGCCCTTGTGCCCGGAGTTCAAAATGCCCACGACAGTTTGTTAAAGAGACAGAGACCTACTGTGGTGGGGATGAGGCCATTGTCTTCATTGATTCACTCAGCACAGGTCACTTAGCTGAGTGTGTCCTCCAGGTGCTGGCTTTAGATTTGTCCTCCTCTGCCACCTGCGCTGGGGGATTCCTGTGGCAACAAAGAGTATAACTGTCCTTCTCTGATTTGACATGAAGGCGACAGAGCCCACATTCCATTTCCGAATTGTAGCAGGAAACCACCAGAGATCATTGGATGTATCATAGTTACCCTTTTCTACTTTGTTAAAATATGAATTTGTTAACGTAAAAACATTCGAACCTGTAAAGAGTTTTTGTGAGTTTGAGCTAAGCTGTCGACAACTGCCAGGAAGCAGAACCTCAACGGATTGAGATAATGCTCCGGAGAGGGTGGTTTTTCACCTGATTTTATGCATCACGATCAAAGGAGGGGTGTAGGCGGCTTCATGAGATTCACTGGTGATGGATTAGGGAGGCGGGAGAAAGCAAAGTGGAGGGGGGGGACTTCTTCCCTGAGCTTGTCAGGTTAGCATGTGGCCCCTTTTGTCCACAGGTTTTTAATTTAAAATAGACTTTTCACAGTTTCCAGCTCTTTCCTTGAGCTGGCTGCAGGCTCTGTTGCCGAGGTGTGCAGAGGCGTGTCTGACACCGAGGGGGGGAGGTGGTGGAAGAGGTTCCCCTGAGGGAGGCCAAGTGCTCTCAAGACTTCCTTTCGCTCGGGCCCAGACAAGGCTTTTTGTGCCCTAATCCGACGGCTCGGTCTCAGAAGACACTTTCCTCCTGCAGGTACATCATGACCAGCGGCAGGACGATGCAGTCCACAGAGGAGTTCTTCGCCAGGCACAGATACTTCGGCTTACAGAAGGAGAACGTCATCTTTTTCCAGCAGGGGATGCTGCCAGCTATGAGTTTTGATGGCAAAATTATTTTGGAAGAGAAGAGCAAGGTGTCCATGGCTCCAGGTCTGTGGCCTCGCTTGTTAATGGTGACTAGGAGTGGGTGACGTAGTAATTGAATTTTAATTTCCCTTTTAACGTGATCTGGATGTTGAAAATGAATGTTTTAGAATTTTTCGCAGTTTGGCAATGATTTAAAAAATGGACGTGCCTGCGGTGAGCTTCTTGCGAGTGTCTGTCCTGGAGAGAGCCTGTGTGCGCCCAGAGCACGTGCTCCCTCTGCCGCAGGTTGCTCCGCCGGGGTTTATCGGATCGAAAAATGGCCAGCCCCTGCAGTTTAAGAAGTAAGAGGCTGAGTTAGGGTTTATCGGTACCCTTGTTTCTTTCTTTCTTTTTTTTTTAAAATATATTTTATTGATTTTTTACAGAGAGGAAGGGAGAGGGATAGAGAGTCAGAAACATCGATGAGAGAGAAACATCGATCAGCCGCCTCCTGCACACTCCCCACTGGGGAAGTGCCTGCAACCCAGGTACATGCCCTCGACCGGAATCGAACCCGGGACCTCTTAGTCCGCAGGCCGACACTCTATCCACTGAGCCAAACCGGTTTCGGCGGTACCCTTGTTTCTTAAAGAGCATTGAAGTAATTGTTTGGAGCCGTTAAGTTGCCAGGGAAATGGCCTTAGTAGGTGGAGCCAGAGAAGGAGAGCACAGCTGCACACACGGTGCCCTCGGAGCCTCCGCGTCCACAAACCCGGGCTGCGTGAGCACAGCCCGAGCCATGACCTGGGTGTGACTCTGGGAGCAGGAGGCCACGCTGCTGGCTCCTGTCTGGATCTGTGGGGGGAGGGGAGGCTGGAAGGAGACAGTGGTGTCCACAGGGTGCTTTTGGCTTCTTCCTTCTTCTTAATTCTTGCTGTCAGTGGAAGAGCTTGCTGTCCTGAGCCCCCTCTGTGCTGTCTAATCCGCATCATGCTGTCAGCTGTGGCCGAGGTTGCTGACAGGACGTGAGGCAGCAGGAAAGGCAGAGGGAGGGGGCTTTCCTTGCACGGAGCTTAGGTCACCACTGACCTTCATGTGAGTCTGGTTTTAAACCAGTGACTTCACATGAAGTTTCCATGTGGTTTTCTCTCTGACATGGGTGACATCGTCAGGCTGCAAATGCAGTCAGCGCCAATCATACAAACAGTAATAAAACTTGGAAGTTGTGGGATGACCATTGTCTGATAAGCAATTTTGTGTTTCACCATATACTTCAGGCTGAATTGTTAAAAGGGCAGATTAAAGGGAAGTGTGGTCTCTGGGGTTGACTTGCTCATACAGTGACGGCTACTGACTCTGCTTGGACGTGTTTTCTTGGCCCACACCGAGTGACCTTCGGGTGACCTTCAGAATGGGTCTGCTGTGCTCTAAGGGCTGTCTCATTTCCCAGACGGGAACGGAGGCCTTTACCGGGCTCTGGCCGCCGGGGACATCGTGGGGGACATGGAGCGCAGAGGCGTGGTCAGCGTTCACGTCTACTGCGTCGACAACATCCTGGTGAGAGTGGCAGACCCACGGTTCATCGGATTCTGCATTCAGCAGGGAGCGGACTGCGGCGCCAAGGTGAGGCCTTTCTCTACGGCTCCCTGCCAGCGCCTCTCACAGGAGCCCGGCCAGCGTTACTGGGCGGTTGGAATATTGTGGAGCCATTCATCGCTCCAGGGATCTTACCCACCCACACCCACTCTTTCTCTTAACGTGGCAACGTTTGGTTCCAGAAGTTAGGTTGTACGCTTGTCCATCAGAAGTGAGAGTTTGCAGTCAGCACCTGGGAGGGTGGTCCTCCCCAGGCCCGAGCATCCACGGGCCTCTGAGCCGGCTGCAGGGCTGTGGGGACGAGAGGCACAGACAGCGGTCTTGGACGTCAGCAAGTCGCTCCTGGTAGGCTCTCGAATACGACGGGGTATGCAGGTTGGGGGTGAGGGCAGTTGGGATTAGTGATGTCTCGACTGGCCACAAACATGCAGGGACTAAGTTGGAGGGAGGTTTACAGGCGGTGCTGTGGGAGACATGCCTTCAGGGAGACAGACAGTCCATGGAATATATCTTGGAATCAGATGGACATGTTGGAAGGTTTAAAAATATGGATATAAATATTACTTTTCCTGGGAATCTGTAAAGGTATCAATTCCCACAAATTAAAGTATCACACCGTCCTGATCTAAGTCCCAGTGACTCTATTCTGGGTCCAAAACAGTGATAAAGCTTAGAATAAACATGGGAAGGCGGCCAGGAAATGTTGAAGGTGGTTGGTGAGGAGGAGGGGAGAGGTTTCGAGACAGACTATCAGACATTCAGGTGGATTGTGAATACTACACGTGAGGCCTGCGGTGCTGACCCAGGAGAAGGCGGCAGATTGACGTCCAGAGCCTGCCCAGTGCATGGAGGAGTCGCTGTGCGACTCACATCTCAGGTTTGGGGGTGAATGAGGATAAAGGAAGGTCTGAGAATAAAGGAAGGCCTCTCCCTAAGTTCATATCACAATCAATTTCAAATGTATTATAGAGTCAAATATTAAAAACTCCATTAAGATGTTAGAAGAAAAGGTAGAGTAATTTTATGTATTTAATTATTTAAATTCTTTATTGTTTAAAGCATTACATAAGTCTCCTTTTTCCCCTCATTGACCTCTCCCCAGCCTCCCTCACCCCCAGCTCAGGCCCTCCCCCCTCCCCCTCCCCCGTATGTCCATTGGTTATGCTCATATGCATGCATGCAAGTCCTTTGGTTGATCTCTTACCCCCCACTCCCACCCTCCTCTGCCTCCCCTCTGAAGATTGACGGTTTGTTAGATGCTTCTCTGTCTCTGGCTCTATTTTTGTTCATCAGTTTATGTTGTTCACTATAGTCCACATATGAGTGAGATCATGTGATATTTATCTTTCTCCGACTGGCTTATTTCGCTTAGCATAATGCTCTCCAGGTCCATCCATGCTGTTGCAAATGGTAAAAGTTCCTTCCTTTTTACAGCAGCATAGTATTCCATCGTGTAGATGTACCACAGTTTTTAAACCACTCATCTGCTGAGGGCACTTAGGCTGTTTCCATATCTTAGCTATGGTGAATGGTGCTGCTATGAACATAGGGGTAAGGGGGTTTCTTTTTCTCCACATCCTCTCCAGCACTTGTTGTTTGTTGATTAGAATAATTTTATAATATTGACATGAAGAGAAGGTCTTTCTGACAAAAACAAAATTAGATGACATAAATTTAAAAAGAAGGCTTGCCACAGAGACATGCCAGATCCCTGGTTGGAGATTTTCTGTTATAAAGATGTCCTTTCTCTCAAAATTTATCTGCAGTGTGAACCTGGAAGGGGTGTCAGCCCATTTGACCTCAGAAATGAGCAGGCAAGCTCCAGGCCTCAGTCTGTTCCAGGCTTGAGGGCTCCATCACCACTTCTCGTTTTAGTATCATGTCACATTATATATAGACTAGAGGCCCGGTGCACGAAATTCATCCATGGGGCGGGGGGTGTCCCTGCAGCCCAGCCTGCATCCTCTCAGCCCAGTCGGTACCCCTTGGGGGCAGTTGGACATCCCTCTCACAATCCTGGACCGCTGGCTCCTAATCACTCACCTGCCTGCTGGCCAGATTGCCCCTAACTGCCCCCCCACTGCTGGCCTAGTTGCCCCCAACTGCCCCCCCCCCCCCACCACCACCACCAGCCTGGTTGCCCCACGCAGCCTGCTGTTCAGTCGTTTGGTCGTCCCTCACTAACCCCCTGCCGGCCTGGTTGTAGGCAGCCATCTTGTAAGGGTGTGAGGGTTAATTTGCATATTACCTCTTTATTATATAGGATTTTTAATATATATATTTTTTATTGATTTCAGAGAGGAAGGGAGAGGGAGAGAGCGATAGAAAAATCCATGAAGAGAGAGAATCATGGATCGGCTGCCTCCTGCACGCCCCCCACTGGGGATTGAGCCCCCAACCGGGGCATGTGCCCTGATGGGAATCGAACCATGACCTCCTGGTTCATAGGTCGGTGCTCAACCACTGGGCCCTGCCAGCCAGGCTCATGTCACATTATAAAAGCAAACCCCTTAGAGTAGTTATGTTTGCTGGTGGCTAGGAACTATGATTGGTGCCCTGACTTTCATGAGTGTGCTGGTCTCCAGTCACTCTTCTCCATGCCCCCAGGTCTGTGTCTGCAACCAAATGGGACTGGGCTGCTGTGGGTCCAGTTCCTAGAGCAGCGGTTCTCAACCTGTGGGTCACGACCCCTTTGGGGGTCGAACGACCCTTTCACAGGGGTTGCCTAAGACCATCCTGCATGTCAGATATTTACATTATGATTCATAACAGTAGCAACATTACAGTTATGAAGTAGCAACGAACATAATTTTATGGTTGGGTCACAACATGAGGAACTGTATTTAAAGGGCCAGAAGGTTGAGAACCACTGTCCTAGAGGCATCAGAAACCACTTATTAATCTGTCCTCCCACCCTTTTCATTGTAGTAAAATGAAGACATACTTTTAAAAGCCGCCTGAGTTAGGGAGAGTCACAGTGCAGCAGTAGCATTCTTTGCAGTACTTTCTTACCAGGCTCCTGTCTTGTGAGTTAAGCTTTTTAAGGAATGAGAGTCTTGAGAATAGACTGTAGGGCGGTGTGGTTTGCACAAAGCTGAAAGGGCAGGACCATTGTGAGTTAAAGATCATTTTCTAGCGCAAGCCTGCCCCCCCCCCCCCCCCCCCCCCGCCTTAGGTACCCATCTCCTACCCTCAGGGACCCCGCGAGACTTGCAGCCAGGGGAGCAATGGGCAGCAGCAGCTTGTCCTGGGCCAGCTCCCTGAACCTGTCCCCAAGGCCCCTTTTCTCTCACTTCTCCATGAGCCAGAGCAGCCCGCCTGGCTCTCCGTGGGTGCTGCCCTTCCAGCTTTAACCAACGCCCTCTCAGGCACCCACACATTTCTAAAGCGGCTCAGGGACTCCGAGGCTCACGGGTTGCAGCTCAGCGTTCAGGGTTTGGCCCGTGACAGCAGAGCAGGCTCTGAGTTCTGCGCTGTCGTTTCTGAATAATGTAAGCTGACCTCCACCTTCGTGCGGCGTTCAGATGCTCTCTCTGTGGTTTAGACTTACAGTCCCTGGAGGTTAGTACTTGTCATGGAAGGACACCCTTCACCCTGAGATGAACACTTGGTGTGTGTACAGTGCACAGTGCTTCCTGCCGTTCCCATGGTGGTGGGAGCAGGGACAGAGAGGGGATTGGGAAACAAACCTTTTAAAGTTTGTTTTTCTAACGGGACGAGAGGAGTCGATTCCAAACCCCCGGGTAGTGAGCTGCCCACTGTGGGCAGGGAGGGGAGGCACGGCTGATGGATGGGATCACCTCCGAGAGGCCATGACCTGGCCGTGCTGTCCCCTCCAGCTCCACTCCTTTCCTTGGTAGAAGGCTCCTTTTCACCGAACCCTGTGCTCCTTTTAGGACAAATAGTGCAAGGACACAGCGGGCAGCCCGCAGCGCGGCCTCCGGGCCTCCTGGCCGTGGGAACCGAGCCCTCGCTCCTGCCTTCAGCCGCTGGCAGGTCGCGCTGGCTGTGCTGACTTAAGGAAAAGTTACCTCTTCTGATTTGCTTTCATCTATACTTAGCATAGACTCTTCAAACCGGGGACACATTTTTCAAAATACTTGGAAGCAGCTGGAACGTGAGTGAACAGGCAGAGCGTGCAGTCCCTTCAGCTACTCTATTGTGATCCTTCTGAGGCTCTTTGTATCAGCGGAACCCTGACTTCAGATTAGTTCTCTCACAGTTGTCTCCTGAGTAAGTTAGACATTTAGGTGAGTTGTGTGGGGTTGGGGTGGCGGGTGTCAGAAGTACCTGTGAGGTTTTTTTAATGAAATACTCCTACATCTCCCTCTGATTTTCACACACCCCTTTCTCTCAGCTCCCCAGCCTGGAGCCATGGACAGAAGGTCCAATAGCTGGTTTACAAACTTTCTTAAAGAATAGAACCTCTTCAGACAAAACCTAGCATGGGACACAGGTCAGTGGGGCGGGCCTTTCTGCCTGAAGTCGGAGTGGGAGCCAGTGACCTGCCTGCTGCCCCTGCCTCCCCGTGACATCCCTCAAAACAAGGAATATGCTGTTTCCATGAATGAAAATGGGGGGGGGGGGGGAGTCATTTTCAAATAAAATAGTGATTTGGGCAATATAAAACAAGAGGCAAAAGGCCTTACTTTTTGTCTTATGAATCTCAGAGAAATTTCATTCTATTTATACTCAAAGTAGCTGAGTGTGGTTAAGGACACATCTATACTATAATAGCCTAGGTGGTCGTCACGCCCTCACACTGTGATGCCCTCACACCATCACAATCCATCACCAGGTGGCTGCGTGTGCATTGCGTGCGCGTGGGTGGGCAGGTACTTGACACTGTGTGCGAGGTGTGGAGGCGGGGCCTGGCGGCCTGGGTGTCCTGTGGCCCCGCCTACCTCTTTGGGGCAATAGATTGCGGGGCTCCCCCCACACTGTGAGAGGGCACAGGCCAGGCTGGGGGACCCTCCCCCCCGAGTGCATGAATTTCGTGCACCGGGCCTCTAGTTAAATAAACATAAAGGTATTTGGGGGACGTAGGCTTCTCATTCAATTATTCCCAGTTCCGGTGATTCCTGAAATGTGTCCCCAGTTTGAAAAGTCTATGCTGAGTATAGACAAAATCAAATCAGTAAAGTTAAAGCTTTTCTCCAGCAACTGATTTCCTTAAGTCAGCACAGCCAGCGCCGACCTGCCAGCGGCTGAAGGCAGGAGTGAGGGCTCGGTTCCCACAGCCAGGAGGCCCGGAGGCCGCACTGCTGGGCCGCCTGCTGTGTCGGGGACTTGCTGCTCCCTGGGAAGTTAACGATGAGCCTCCCGTCCAGTTGGAAGGGAGTCTGTCAGAGACTGTGCAGGGGTAGGTGATGGTCTGCAGCTAGCGCCCCCCCCCCCCCCCCCCCCCCCGCCTGGTAAGTGCAAGTGCACCCGGGCTGTGCAATGGCGGTGGGCAGCGTAGCGAGTGCTTTTCTTCCTGTGATGTTGTCTGCCTGGGGCAGGTGGTGGAGAAGACGAACCCGACAGAGCCGGTGGGCGTGGTGTGCCGCGTGGACGGGGTGTACCAGGTGGTGGAGTACAGCGAGATCTCCCTGGCCACGGCGCAGCGGCGGGGCCCGGATGGACGGCTGCTGTTCAACGCGGGGAACATCGCCAACCATTTCTTCACCGTGCCCTTTCTGAGAGACATTGTCAAGTACGGCAGGGTGGGGCGTTGTGGATTGTTTGTTGCATGAGAAGTCGGGAGATAACCCCAAGTCCAGTCCTGCAGAATTCGCCCACTTCCTGGGGGTCACCTATGCCCAGTGACATGTTTCTGGCGCGGGGGGTAAGTGAGTTGGGTCATAGGAGCCCCTCCCAGGGCATAAGCTGAGGCACAGAGTCGCCCCTTTTCTTCTCTTCGCTCCCGCCAGTGTGCTAGGCCTTGTGAAGTGAGGGACAGACACGAACCCCGGCTCTCCCACAGCCGGACACTTGGGAGGGGCATTTGCCCCACAGCTGCTGAGCCAGGCCCGGGACGTGTAGAGGGGCGTCAGTCTACGGGAGCTGGTGTCGACGAACCTCAGGAGCCAGGGCCTTAGGGCGTGAGGGCAGCTGGGGCCGGGCGGAGCCTGCCCAGGTGTAGAGGGAAGGGCACGTGCTGTCTGACCCACCACGGGCCAGCTTCAGCGCCAGGACGGCTGCTCAGTCCGCCCGGCCCTCGGCGGTTCCCAGTCCACTGTGCTGCTTGTCGCCTCGCGCCTTCATCCGCAGTGACTGTTAGTGCTCCATCCCCCCCCTCGGACGACGGGGTCCGGGGGAGGCGTTGGTGTGACGGCCTCGGAGGTCTCCCCCCAGTGACCTCTCTTCCTGCCTAGTGTGCACGAGCCGCAGCTGCAGCACCATGTGGCTCAGAAGAAGATCCCGTGTGTGGACTCCCAGGGGCAGCGCGTGAAGCCCGACAAGCCAAACGGAATAAAGATGGAAAAGTTCGTCTTCGACATCTTCCAGTTTGCAAAGTAGGTGTCGCAGCCAGTAGGATGGACCGAGGGTCTCGGGACCTGCCTTCCTCTCCCAGGCAGGACGCCGCCTCCGCACACTCGCCGCCAGTGGCGGGTGCTGTGACGGCGTCGGAGCCCCAGGCCACGAGTGTGGAGTTGCGGGAGGCTCTCCTCACTCAGTGGTCGTCAGCCGTGGGCTCTCCGCCCTCGCTCTGGCTGAGCGACTAGCAGGCCCGCCAGAGAGTTGGCCCTGGGCTCAGGCGTCGCCCTGCCCGAGAGCCAGGGTCACAGGAGTGTGCTCAGTTCCCGTAGCTCCAGGAAACCGCAGAGCTGACCGGTATGAAACACAGACGACAGATCAGCTAAGAACCATCTCACCAAACACATTCCTAAATCGTCCTTTTTCTGCCCAGAAGACACTAATGGGATCTTTTTGCACCAAGATTTCTAGTCTTTGTGACTAGTTACTTCTTGGAGTCTTGGTCGGGGCTGGGTGGAGGCCCGGCGGTGGGGCCATGCCGGGAGCAGCTTTATTTGTAGTCAGGCATCTCCGTTTGCTTCCACGGCAGGAAGTTTGTGGTGTATGAGGTGCTGCGGGAAGACGAGTTCTCCCCTCTGAAGAACGCAGATAGTCAGAACGGCAAGGACAACCCCACCACGGCCCGGCATGCGCTCATGTCCCTGCACCACTGCTGGGTGCTCAATGCCGGGGGCCACTTCATCGACGAGAACGGCCGCCGCCTGCCCGCCATCCCCCGGTGAGCGTGTGCCCTGGCCCTCGCTCCTGGCCGCCTCTCTCTCGGTTGTTACTGCATCTTTAACCAAGCAGAGCATCCCTGCCTGGTGTGGGGGATGCCTGCTCCCCACAGGGATCTGCCGAAGCCTCGTGTTCACACACGTCTCCCGGGCGTGAAGTGACTCCGGCAGCAGTGGTTGGAAGGTGACCACTGGTGCCTCTGGGTCTGGCTGTCAGCAGCAGCTGTACCATAGGTCACTGCCCACACATCTGGGGGACCCCAAAACTCCCGCCACCCCTACGGGACACAGGGCCACCGTGGCAGCCTCAGGTCCTAAGAGAGGCGCCAGGAAGGGAAATGAATGCCACTGAGTCCCGAGTCCTCAATCTTGAAAAATATTACGGGATTTTAGAAGTGGAAACAAGGAGATTCTTATAGCTATTCAGCCGGATACAAAGGCCTTTTAGGCTAAATCTTATATTTTATGATCAAACCTTCACCGGCACCTGAAGTCCCTGCTAAGTCCTTTGGTTTCTGTGCTCACAAAGCATGTCCTGCCGTGTCACTTGTGCCCTCACGGGGTGGAGTGCTGGCTGGGTGCTCAGAGGTGCTGAGCACGGTTCGTGCTGGGCCTCCGGCGGCTGGTCTGGCTGTCACCGAAGGGGCCTGCTGAGCGTGTCCCGGCCAGGGCCACCGGCATGGGCGTGGCAGCTGTCCTTGCTTGTCTTGGCCATTGAGTTTGTTTTCAACCCTCCATCTCCTTTGCTGAGTTTATCCCTTACCATCCATCCTGCCTCCAGGCCCGCAGAGTTGGCAGTTCCCTCATTGTTGTGTTTGGTTTGCTCCCCCAGTAATGCTTCTTTGTTCCCACATAGCACTGGTGCGCACGGACAGCCCGAGGCCGTCACAGCCGGGGTCGCGGACAAGTAACTATCCCGCCTGCCTGCAGCATGGTGTAGGGCTGGCTTCTCCCGGAGCTAGTGTAGCGCTGCCGCGGGGGCGGGGCTTTGGTGGGCGCTGCTTCCTTGGTGGCAGGCATCTGTCTGGACACTAACTCAGCGCAGTGCATGCTGGGCACGGGCAGCATGCCGTACTAAGCCCCCACAGGCGTCTGCGCCGCAGTGAGCGTCCGCGAGTGCAGGTAAGGTTGGCGCAGGGGCCCTGCGGGAGCACCACACAGCCACCACGTGTGCTGGGGTGTCTCCTGGACTGGAGTCATCCTGAGGCCCGAGGGGGCAGGAAACTTCTTGCATTTGTTCTCATGCTAATAGCTCCCCATTCGGTCTCTCTGTGCTAGTATTAGTCACTGTCCTGCTCCTAAGAAAGTGTCTTGTTGTAAGAGCAGGTCATTTTTAGCTGGAGCACCCATGTCCTCTCCCCTCTGGGTGCTGCCAGCGTCTGAAAAGCTATGGTCTGTGTAGCTAGAGAGCGCGGCAGATGCTGTCGCACCCCCGCAGGGCAGGCCTGGTCTGGAGGGAGGTTGTGGAGACCCGGGGACTGTGCCGGGCAGGGTCTGGGCGGGTTCCCAGCAGCAGCAGAGCTCTGTGGTCGCGTCGCCGCCTTGCCACCTGCCCTTCGTCTTGCCCAGCAGAGGCCACCTGTGGCTGTCGGGTCTGGGACGTGGGCTGTGCCAAGGAAGGGGACTCCCAGAGCCGGCTCCTGTCCTCCAGGAGCCCTGGGTCTGTCATCTTTGCACCAAGCGGACTGGGTGCAGCGTCTGGAAGCAGCTGCCTTTATGATTTAAGAAATAGATTTTCGACCTTAAATTTCCTTCTCATTGAACCACACAGCTTTTAACCTGAAAAGTGAGTGATTCTTAATTATACAGCTGCAAACGTCCTCCAGCGTCTCAGCGAAGATACAAAAGGTTTTAGAGTTCTCCCTGTTCAGATTCTTTTCCCTAGTACAGTGGTTCTCAACCTTCCTAATGCCGCAACCTTTAATACAGTTCCTCATGTTGTGGTGACCCCCAATCTCATTGTTACAAATTGAACATAATTAAAGCATAGTGATTAATCACAAAAACAATATGTAATTATACATGTGTTTTCCGATGGTCTCAGGCGACCCCTGTGAAAGGGTCGTTCCACCCCCAAAGGACCGCGACCCACAGGCTGAGGACCGCTGCTCCTTTCTCCCTGTCCCCTTAGTTCTCTGTGGCGGGGACCTCTGTGATGCAGACGGAGATCATGCTCAGGCAGCTGTGTGTTCCTCGGGTTCAAAACTACCTCCTGATCCTGGCCCCCAAGTCCCTCGGCCTCAGGTTCAGGGTCAGGTTCAGGTGGGACTTCATTTTCCCACTTGGCATATGTGACCCTGAGCTGCCCGGGGGGTCTGCGCCAGATCTCTGGGGCTCTCGTGGTGGAACCTGACACAGTCTGCAGAGCCCTGTGCCCCACCTTTAAAGCACCTTTCCTCCGTCAGCCCGGGAGCCTCCCCACTCAGGCCGCAGGTGCTGTCAGCGTGCAGAGGCCCCGGGCTCCTGAGGAGAGCAGGCGTTTCCTGCAGGCTTGGGAGGGTCCCCGTGCATGTGCGTCTTCATCTTCCCCTGAGGATACGCTTGCTGACTAGAGAGAGGGGAGGGAGAAACACCGAAGTGGGAGAGAAACATCGGTTGGTCGCCTTCCTTACATCCCCGACCAGGGCTGAACCCGCAGCCTAGGTATGCGCCTGAGCAGGAATCCAGCCAGCTGAGCCACAGCGCGGTGCCTCAGCAGATGCTAATAAGCATCATTTTGTTGGAGGAAATGAAGGAGGGCAGGCACTGTGGAGAGCAGTCAGGGGAAGGTGGGGCCTGAGCTAATCTAGAGGATGGGAGGTGGAGTTCCTCACAGGGACCTGGTGGGAATGCCCTGGAGTAACCCAGAGTGGCCTGGCCAGAGAAGCGTGGCAGACGGTGGTCCTGGGAGCAGGACATGGGCACGAGCACCTTGAATCCAGCTGACGGTTCTGTTGGGGAAAGAACGGGCGTGGCCCACGCAGGAGTTCTGGGCTGGGCTGTAGTTTCAGGCCACGTGCGAGCACAGGGACGGAGAGGGGTCTCCAGGCGGCAGGAGGCCGGGCTTCTGTGCGCCTGGGGTCCTGTTGTAAACTCTTGACATGGCGAAAGCTCAGAGGTCTCAGGGCTTTCGATATGTTTTAACACTTCATTGCTTTGTGCCAGGTGATGGAGACTCTCAGGCTGGCAGGTGCTGTCGGTGCTGAGCGTGGCCTGGAGGAGCCGCGTGGTGACGGGCCTGCTTTCGCAGCCTCGCGTGGCTACAGGCACTTGGAACACGGTCATTGTGATGCGAATTGAATTTTAAAACTAAAATTGAGTTTTACAGTTTCAAGGAGTTCAGGTTTGAGTGCCCCCTGTGGCGAGTGGCTGCCGTACAGGCTGCGTTGTTAGTTAACGTCTGTCAGACTCTGCGCCCAGCTCTCTGGTGTGGCGAGGAGTAAAGTGACTGAAGGGTCAAAGCACCTGGGGACGTACCTGGACCATGTCTGTTCAGTCTGCTGTCCCTTCCTTGTCAAATTAAAACTTGGACGTGAGATGTCCAGGAGGCGATGCATGCACCGGCGGGCGAGGTGCGGCACGCCCCGGCTGTCTGCTGACCGTGACCGTGTCCGGGAGCCTAATCCTCAGGGCGCTTGGTGGTCGTTGGGGCTGCTAACAGCAGAACTCTGTTCTCACAAGCTTCTCAGAGGAAAGCCGCTCTGCCTTTCCCTCTGGCGGGCAGCGCGGGAACAGTCTGTGACATGTGGTCTCTCCCCAGCTTGAAGGACGCCAGCGATGACCCAATCCAGTGTGAAGTCTCCCCCCTCACCTCCTACGCCGGAGAAGTGAGTAGCTTTGCTTTTCTGCTCCTTTTTTAAAGTAGAGTCTGGTTCTGTTTCATGTTTAAGTGGAGCTGCCCTCACAGGACGGAGCATTGCGGGGACCCTTCCCTGAGAGCCGGTTCTGCAGAGCCGCCTTTGCTCTCGGCCCTTCCCCCGCCAGTCTATCCCGGCTCTGCCACAGAGCACACGAGGCTGGTTCCCACGCTTCCACATCAGTGCATGTCCCTTGGACATTGAGTTAGAACGGGCTTTTCAAAAATATGTGACCGCCTTGTTTTGTAGATAAATCACATGGCTCTTTTTACTTTACTTATCTATACTAATAAAAGGGTAATATGCTAATTAGACTGGATCAACCGGCCATCTTCCGGACATCTGACTTCCTTCCGGACAAGGCCATGGTGGTGGGGGCCGAGGCAGAGGCAGTTGGGGGACAGATCAGGACAGCAGGGGGTTAGGGGTGACCAGGTCTGCAGGGGAGGGCTGTTGGGGGCAACCAGACCAGCAGGGGAGGGTAGTTGGGGGCACAATCAGGTGGGCAGGGGAGGGCATTTAGGGGCATGATCAGGCCAGCAGGGGAGGGCCATTGGGAGTGACCAGGCCAGCAGGGGAGGGCCATTGGGAGTGACCAGGCTAGCAGGGGAGGGCAGTTGGGGGCATTAGGCAGGTGAGTGGTTAGGAGCCAGTGGTCCTGGATTGCGAGAGGGTGCAGGCCGAGCTGAGAGATACCACTCCCCTGCACAAATTTTGTGCACCGGGCCTCTAGTGTTTTATTAATTCTCACCTGAGGATATTTTTTCCATTGCCCTTCAGAGAGAATGGGAGGAAGAGAGGGAGAAGGAGAGAGAGAAAAACATCGGTGTGAGAGAAACACATCGACTGGTTGCCTGCCACATGTATTCCGACGGGGCGGATCAAACCTACAGCCCAAGTACATGCCCTTGACTGGGAATCGAATCCGAGGCCGATGCTCCAGCCACTGAGCCAGTGGAGGGTCTATTGTTCATAAACCTAGTGCTCTTGCTTTGAGAACCAGGGAGCTGGTTCTTCTAACCCAGCGGTTCTCAACCTGTGGGTAGTGACCCCTTTGGGGGTCGAACGACCCTTTCACAGGGGTTGCCTAAGACCATCAGAAAACACATATATAATTACATATTGTTTTTGTGATTAATCACTATGCTTTAATGATGTTCAATTTGTAACAGTGAAATTGGGGGTCACCACAACATGAGGAACTGTATTGAAGGGTCGCGGCGTTAGGAAGGTTGAGAACCACTGCTCTAACGTGTGACGTATTTTCCAGAGACCCTGTCAGAGGCAGCCACCCCTCCCCCATGCTTAGCAAGTGCCCCGCGCTGGGGACGATTAAAGGAAGAATGAGTATCATCCTATTAACTTTAGAAATAACATTATAGTCAGAATAATTTTACTGTAGTGTGGTCTGTTCCGTGCTGTTATAAGCAGGTCATTAAGCCCAGTTTAAAGTGTGTGCCAGTCAGTCAGAGAAAGACGAGCATCACTCGACCTCGCCTTCATGTGGAATCAAATGAGCCAGATAAACTGATGACCAGAGGAAACACAGGGAGAAGCATGGACAGACTGGGATCTCAGAGGGGAGGCAGGAGAGGGTGGGTGGGAAGAGATCAGCCAAAGACCTGTGTGCATACGCATAACCCGTGGACACAGACAATAGGGTGGTGAGGGCGGGGCGGGCGGGGGGGCGAACAGGAGCAGCTGGAAGAGATAAATAGGGGAAAAAGAAGACCTATGTAATACTTCCAACAATAAAGATTAAAAAGATAATAAAATGTAAAAAAACAACAGAAAATAGAAACAAACAAAAGACACCGTCATTTCTCCACTGTCAGCTGCAGAGGTTTAAAGGGATTTGATGCCAACAAATTGCCAGGCCACTCACTCAGAGCCCCACCCGACTCCCTTCTAGACACCTGGGAGGATGTGAAGGTCAGCACGTCCCAGGCTTCCTTCAGAGACGGGTGAATGCCAGGCTGGTGTTCCCGGGAGCCGGGCATGGTGGCAACTCAGAAGAGAAGAAAAAACCCTGACTGCTTTATTTTCGATTTTAATCAGGTTCCTAATCCTCTGACCTTGTGCTAACTTTTTCTAAGTTTGGGGTTTTATTTTAAAGTTGTTCATGGCATAAGACAACTGCAGGCATACCAGGCCACCAGGCCACCGTATAGAGAAGTATTTCAATAAGGAAAAAGTGTGCACCAAATCGGTTCTTACTGACTCACCCTCTGCTCTCAGCCCAGCTTCTGTGCTGCACACCCTAAAGCAGGGGTCCTCAAACTTTTTAAACAGGGGCCAGTTCACTGTCCCTCAGACCGTTGGAGGGCCGGACTATAGTTTAAAAAAAAACTATGAACAAATTCCTATGCACACTGCACATATCTTATTTTGAAGTAAAAAAACAAAACGGGAACAAATACAGTATTTGTATTTGCATGTGGCCCGCGGGCCGTAGTTTGAGGACCCCTGCTCTAAAGCATGTCACAGCCCCGGCTGCCTCGCAGCCGCCGGCCGCCCCACTGTCGCCGTTTCCTAACCTCCATCTCGCCTTCCTCTCAGGGCCTGGAGGGCCTCGTGGCCCACAGGGAGTTCCACGCGCCTCTGATCATTGACGAGCATGGGGTCCACGAGCTGGTGAAGAACGGGCTGTGAGGCAGGCGCTGTCCTCGCCCCGAGAGCAGCTTCTCCTGGTGACGGACCCACGGGACCCGCAGGCCCTCAGGCTGCCTCCTGCTCTGCGAGCCCCTGAAGCTGCTGCACGGCCCCAGGAGCCGTGGACTGAGTTCAAGGCATTTCTGTGACTCTCAGCTCATTGAAGGTCTTATTTATATTTTTCAATTGTAGGATGTTCCCCAGCCCAGGGGACCATGCGTCCGGGACACATCCTGCCGCGTGTGTCGGGCAGGGTGCGCGCTCGGCCCTCGGCGGGGCCTGGCCCCTCACGGTGCACAGAGAGAGAATGTGCACTGCTCACGTCGAAGGGTTTCTATGGTACTGAAGGTTGGTTTTACTTTATCAAAAAGTAAACTTTTTAAAGAAAAGAATTAGGGAAATAAACTTTTAGTCTCTGTGGAGTGTCATTTGTACCTTGAGGACTTCATTCCGTTAGGAAAAGAGGGAACTTGGAAGGAACTTGAGATAATGCAGACAACAGGCTGCCGCTGTGGGAAATGGCAGACACGACGTCCCTACCCAGCGCCGGGCTCTGGTCAGTTCTCGCAGGGACAGGTCCGCAGGCGCATTGGCTGGTCTGGGGACACGTGCGGTGGCACAGCTGAGGGGCGGGGTGCAGGGCCAGCCCCTGCGTGTCCTCGCAGGACGTCTGGCTCAGTCCTGCCAAGGCTGGGGACCTCGTTCACCCCAGGGCTTCGCTTGCCCAAGCGCTCGCGGCACGTCTCCCGGGAGGTTAAACACTGTCCTCCCAGCATTTTTGTCTTCTTTGTTTCCGGCTAGAAGATTTTTAGAAAGGAGAATAATGTGGTTATTAAAACATGGACTGTAGATCATTAGTGTCTAAAATAAGATTTGCATGAAAGCATTTATTGACCAAACACATAAAATTAGCATCTGGATAAATGAAAAATTCTAAAGTCTGGCTCAGAAGTGATGGATGCCTTTCCTCTTCCCTGACCGGCTGTGGCGGGGGAGTCCTGGGAGGGCCCTGGGTGTGGAAGTGGAAGTCTCAGGCCCGGTTCTGGCACGCGATGCTGGTACTGGTGTCTACGCTCATTTTCTGTGGAGAGCCCTAACCATGTGCTGAGCATATTTTCTGTTTTATCTCAGTAACAGCCCGACTTTGCTGCTTTCCATCCCATTTCTCAAAAAGATTTGTGAGGTTTGCGTTCTCCATCTGAGCGAGCTCCTGTCCCCGCTTCTCTGCCAGGTTCCCCCACTGCCCCTCCCGAGCTGGGTCGCACGGCAATGGCCGTCCGGCAGGGACGGGTTTGATTGCAAGGACTGTGGTGGGTCTGGGTGCGAGGTGCTAGCGGTCTCTTCCTTCACAAGCCCTAGTCGGGAAATACGGAGCCGGGGAGATGCTCATGAAAATAGGAGTTAGCGGCCTTGACAGCTGAGTGGGATTAAAACCCAAGTGTCTCGACTCTAGGCCCTGCCTTCATGAGGCTGTGCTGCCCTGCCCGCCTCCGCACCCAGAGCCTCCTCACCCAGAGTCTTTGCACCCAGAGCCTCCGCACCCAGAGCGCTGCGCCAGCCGCAGCTGCAAAAGAGTAAAGGCACGAGGCAGTGCGGCCCTCCTGCAGCTGCCGGCGGAGGAGGATGGAGAAGCTGGGAGAGAGCAGGCCACATGACAGGCCGTGTGCTCAGAGGGGGCAGGAGGAAGCGGCACCAGCACCACGAGAGGCCAGAGGCCACAGTGAGATGCTGCCGCCAGGGCCATGCCCTGGGTGGTGTGAGATCAGGGGAACTGCGACCACCACGCAGCCTCTGCCCGCTTCTCTAATGTATAGGAAGGAGCGTGTGCGCGTGCACGTGTGTGTGTCTCTGTGGGTGTGCATGTGTGTATTTGTGTCTGCATGTGTGCACAAGTGTGTGTCTGTGTGTGCATATGAGTGTGCGTGTGGTTGCAGGGACTAGCAAAGCAGTTCTGGGAACAGCTAAGTCAGCGTTTGAGCCCAGAGCTGGGCTGTGTTCAGATGAGTGGCTGTGTCAGTGGGAATGTCTTTCTCACACCCCTCCCCCTTCTTACAGTCTCTGCACACGTGTCCACTGCTCGGAAGGCACACGGAGGTCCATGCGCTTGGCCGTGGAGAGAAGGGCCGGCACTAAATCAGTTCCGTTCATTGTGCTGTGGGTCGTGGGGCAGGGACCTGGGTCACGTGCTTCTGGGGAGAAGAAAACCCTTCGTACGGTTTGTGCCGTGGGGTACAGGTGGGAGTTGGAAACGCCACCCCCAGGCAGCAGTTGTCAGACTGCTTTGCTCACAGACCTTGTCTCAGTCAGAGGTGAGACGTCCTAGTGGCAGCCACACCGAAGGCCCCGTGTGTTCTTGCGATCGGCATCTGTTAGAAAGGGCGGCGTCTGCCTCCCATGGGCCGGCCTCCGCACTTCACTGACCTTCCCCAGTGCCGTTCCGGCTGGCTGCTGGAGGCTCCGGGCGTGGCGGCCGTGGCCCCTGCGTGTCCTCGGCAGCCTGGCTTGTCGGGGCTGCAGGGAGCAAGCCTTGTGGGGAAAAGGAGGTCGCGCTGGAGCCCGGGTGCAGGTGCGCGGCCGGTCCTTCACGCACTTCTGAATGCGGACAGGCTGGTTGTGAGCCAGCTGCTCCCGCCTGTCGCACCGCGCGGCCTGGGTGGCCCGTGCCGCCTTCCCGGGAGGCTGTGTCTGTGCAGTCGGGGCAGCAGGTGCCAATGCTCAGGCACTGGAGGAAGCTCCACCCGAAGCTCCACACTGCTACCGTCTGCGTACCCAGGGCCCACGTCCACTCCAGGCCAACACGTGCATCTCCCCCGCCCCCAGCTCGGCAGGCACAGATTGTCTGCTGTCAACACTCGCATCCCAGAAGGACAAAACAGGTCACGTGGTCTGAGCATTTTGCATAGGAGGCAACCAAGGACCAAAGAGAAGTGACCTGTGGCTAGTGACAAAGCGCAGACTAGAGTCTAGGTCAGCCAGACTTGGAACTGAGGGCTTCAGTTCACTGAGAGTAATTAAAGGTCAAAGTGTGGATCCAATGGTAGGAACTGTAGAAGGAGATGAGGAAAGGGAGAGTAGGATGGGCCCAGATCCAAATCCCAGAAAGTACAAACAGTATGGATTGTAGAAATTAGTAAAGTTCTTATTTTATACTAGTAGCCCGGTGAACGGATCCGTGCACATTTGAAAGGAACTTAATTAGAAGGTGGCTGGCAGGGCTGGGCGTGATGGGCTGGACACACGCTGGAGCCAACCCCCTGAGGTCCCTCCCCAGCCGGCTGCACCTGGGCGGTACCATGGCTCGAAGGGTGTCTGCAAAGTAGGGTCCCTTTGGCAGATGGGGTCCCTCGGCCTGGCCTGCAGGGATCAGGCCATAACAGGCTTTCTGACATCCTCGAAGGCTTCCCAGAGTGTGAGAGGGGCGCTCTGCAAAGCTGCTTTATACAGGGTGTGGAACGCAAACGCAAGTGAGCAGTAACCAGATTCAAGGCCGACAGTGCCCCAGCAACAACATAGCCCACGGCTGAAGGTAGAATCGCACGGCCCCCGCGAGGAATCGGGCTCCCTCTTCTCTGGTTTCGGGGTGCGTCACCCGAGAACTGCCACGGCCAAGTCACTGCAGCTCTGCAGCTCCAGCCTTGAGTGTCTCCCCCGTGGTGGTCAGTGTATGTCAGTGATGGCAAACCTTTTGAGCTCGGCGTGTCAGCATTTTGAAAAAACCTAACTTAACTCTGGTGCTGTGTCACATATAGAAATTTTTTGATATTTGCAACCATAGTAAAACAAAGACTTATATTTTTGATATTTATTTTATATATTTAAATGCCATTTAACAAAGAAAAATCAACCAAAAAAATGAGTTCGTGTGTCACCTCTGACACGTGTGTCATAGGTTCGCCATCACTGGTGTATGTCATAGTGACCGGTCGGATGGGTGGAGGGACACTTAGCATATTAGCCTTTTATATATATAGACTAGTGGCCCGGTGCACAAAATTTGTGTACATTACAAGGGGATTAATTAGAGGAAATATTTTAATATTGCTATTTGCCCTTTATGATAGAAGTGTCAGAGATGAAAGAAAATTAGCCAAATGTATATGAAAATCTTCCTCCTGTCAGAGTCTGGGGTGCGCCGTAGGACCCAGAGTCAAGTCCCCGCCCACCCATGCACACCTTGAAATTGCATGAGATCCAGATCCAGCTGGCCCCACTGTCAAGCCCCGCAGGGCAAGGGGTGCTGCTTCAGGTCCCCCATCAAGCCCCACTGGGTGGGGGGCAAGGACTCAGGTCCCCTGGCCCTGCCTCAGGTCCCCCGGCCTGGCCTCAGGTCCCCCGGTCCTGGTTCGAGGGTGTGAGGACGCGAGGGCATAGCGACCATTTGCATATTAGCTCTTTATTATATAGGATGCTCTCTCCAGACCTCCCTGCAACAAAAGTCCTTTGGTTCGTTTGGACCCAGAATGTCAGAACATGGCTACGCTGTTACAGCATGCAGGAGCGAGACCCAGAGGCCCTTCTCTGCTGTGATTAAAAAAAGTGCCTGGGTACATTTTTCTTGCTTTTACACTCTCAGAAGATTTATATAGGAGAATTCTTTTTAACTCATGGAGCAGAGCTTACCTAGTATTTACAAATCAACCCTTGACCCAAAGCGTAATGAAAATATCAATTTTCAGTTGGCAGGCCGAAAAAAAGTTCTATTTTAGACATCCTTATTTTTTCCAAGTGTGCAACTGAGATTATGATAGTTTCACATTTCTATAATTGATTTCTTTTTTACAGAGCGCCTGTGTAGAGCCTCAAACTCAGAACACCAATTTTATTTTCATTGGATTCTTTTCTCTGAAAACTACAAATTACATTTATGTTATTTCCCAAACCCGCTTCCTTTCTTTTCTCCATCCCTGGGTTCTCAAGTGATTGCTCCATGTGGAGACCCGACAGTAGCTGGTGCTGTGGTGCTGGTTGAAGTCCATATGTCTAACCATCTGTTTAACCAGGAACACAGACCAACCTGGCGGTAACCAGACCTCAGATGTATCTGCAAATAACGTATCTCCCTCTCCCAGCGAGACCTCCTCATCTGGCTTTCCATAGACAACGAGACTCTCGGGACAAGCAGGACACACCAAAATTATATCATTTACGACATTTGAAAGTGAAAAATTGGAAGTTTTACCAATATCCTGTTTTTGTCATTCCACAAAACGTTTTTGTGTGTGTGGTCGCCTTTTCTACTTTTTCCATTTTCTTTGAGACATTATTTTCAAATGTGCATTTTAGGGATATGATTATGTAATATTGTGTTTCAGATTTGGAGGCTTTGTGGGTTGTTTCTAGAGACCCTGTCTTTTCAGCTAACTTCAAAATAGAAATTGAAATGCTGGAGAATCGAGATTAGAGCTGGGAGGCCAGGCCGATGCAGTTGGCCCTCCGCAGCCTTCGCCCCTGCACTCTCTGGGTGTCTTTTGTTAGTTGCTTCTTACTTTCATCAGCATCTTCTGTGAGGGGTCAGGGGTCAGGACACCTGGGCTCTCACCTGCTTTGTGATGAACCAGAGCGACCAGGGCCGAGTCATGACTCCTTCCGGCCCCAGTCTCCTCGCTTGCAGAGTGGAGTGGTGTGTGTGTGCGTGCGTGTGTGTGCGTGTGCATGTACGTGTGTGCTTGTGAAGGACTTGGCTCAATGAGCTGCACGTGCACTTCTCTGTGACCCCGATAAATATTTCTGGTTGTGCATCTGAGCCTCACTCATCTGTGCTTTCAGCGTTTCCTGATGGCCTTTCCTGATGTCCGCTTCCTATGTGTTTCCATTATATGTGTTTCCTGCCTGTGTTGGGGCTAGTTCACATGGATCAGTGGTTGCTATGAGGCAGGTACTGTTGTAACTGCTTTACACTTTTAGCTCATTTATTCTTCACAACAACCCTCCAAGCTACGTATCAGGGATGTGGGGCTATCTTCTCTCTTTGCCTTTCACTCTAAAATTGTATAAACATTTTCCTCATCTCGGCTCTTCCTTTCCTCCAGGTGATCGTTCCGGCGCCTGGCAGCTGGCCTTTCACTCTCTGAGGGCGTTAGCACCTCACTCAGGATCTCCGCCTGCGGGGCCACCTTCCCGCCTGTGCTCCCCCTACTTGCAGGCCTTTCTCCCTCCCCCACTGCAGAGGCACAGCTGCTCCTCGGAGAGGGGGCTTGTCACCGAGCCTTTCCTCGAGTGTGGGAGGCACTTTCTGGCCAGGACATCTTTGGCGGCTTCATCCTGTCTGCCTGGAATTCCAAATTGTATTTGTTCCCCAAGACCCTGAAAAATGCAATTTTTTTCATGGAGCTCACCATCCATCTAACAAGAATCTTACAACCTAGACCTCATTCTGGGCATTTATTTTCTACCACATATTACAATTCCGCGCCCATGGATTGAATAAGACAAGAGGTTTGAGCCGTTGGGGGAGACCTCTGGCTGTTCAGCAAGGATGGGGAGGGAGGACAGAGGGAAGGGAGGGCTGCTGGTCAGGCCTGACATGGAAGCGAAGCTGTGCCTCCAGCAGCGAGTCCTGCAAAGGCCAGAGGGGTCCCTCCCGCTCTTCCCCTGGGAAGGGGGGCAGAGGCGCTTGCGGCTTATTGTCGTCATTTAGGGACACACCTGTGACAGTTCCCAAGTGGGAGCACGTAGCCCCTGAGAGGGACTAGGATACGCCGATGAGCTCAGGTTCGGGTCAGAGGGAAGGAAGTGGTCGTTGGGGGCCTGGAATGAGCAGAAAGAACACAGGGAAGTTATTCCAGAATCATAATTTTTTTTAAAAGAAGAAGAAGAATGCTTACAAAGGTCATCTGTAATGGAACCCTGACGGGTGAGGGTGGCTGATGCTGACCAAGGCCGGGCTCCACTGCAGGAGACCGACACGCACACCAGTGACGCCTCCCCAGGGAGAGGCGGCCACAGCCCGTCTTCGAGCCGAGGAAGCTGTGGCACAGAAGGCGGGTCCTGGGCGAGTCCGATCGGGCAGGGAGAACCTGGTGAATGACAACTATAAAGCGAGGAGGTGGTGGTACAATAAATAAAAACAGTTAAATACCCTCAATAAATATAGAGTCGGAGTTTGCCACACAATACAGAATATGTTGTTCATGGAAATTAACCTAAACCAGAAAAATAAAGCAGAAAAAAATACACTTCACAGATTTAGAAAAAGAATGTTTAAGCCCAAAATTAGCAGAAGGAAGGAGATAAAGTTCAGAACAGAAATTAATAGATAAACAATAAAAAGTTCAATAAAACTAAGAGTTGGTTTCTTGAAAAGATAAGCAAAATTGACAAACATTTAGCTAAACTAAGAAAAGACGCAAATAAAACTGTAAACGGAAGAGGAGACATTGTAACCAGTAACCCCAGAAACCCGCACAGTGAGGCTGCTGCCAGGCCGACGGGCACTCCAGCCCACCTGGCCCCGCCGGCCCTCACGCCGAAGGTTTTCCCTGGCCTTGGTTCCCTGTTTATTTTGGCCTAAAATCTCTTAAACGTTTAAAGTAAAAGCATTTTGTGCAATTGCACGGTGTTTTGGAAAGCGTGATGGGGGGGGACTCGAGAGGTGGGTTCCAGCTGTGCTTCGCCTCTTGTACTGAGACCTCGGACAGGTGGCCTACCTGGGGGACTTGCGGTGAGAGTGCAGCGGCTCCGGGGGGCCTCCAGGTCCCAGGCACCTGCGCTCAGGTGGGAGCAGTTGCCCTTGCTCTGTCCTCCGGTCCCAGCACCGAAGCTGGCCTGGCTGGTAGTGAGAACCGGCTTGCGCCTCCCAGGAGCGCGAATTGCACAGACTTAGCCTGGCCTTTGTCCTGGAGGCTTAGAGTGCCGCTGGCCATAGAAATTCCTTCCTGCTTTCGTGTGTTGTGTTGGAGCCCGAGAGCTGGTGTTTGCGGGGCAGCATGGTCTGTGCAGAGAGCTGAGAGGTGGCCAGGAAGCAAGCCCTGTCTCTGAGCCATCTGCCTGTCACCCTCCCGCAGGCCCAGGTGTCTGTGCCTCCCGCTGGGTCCAGGGAGGCCTCCTTGCTCCTGTTCCTCTTGCGAAGTGTCTCCTGCTCCGGGCGCTCTGAGGGACGGCCCCTCCATGGTCCCTGCCCACTCCTGTGCGCCCCCAGCCTTGCTGGTCTCGGGGCTGAGCCATCCCAGGGCCTGCCCAGCCGGAGTGGAGGAGACGCAAGGCCTGGGAGCCTGGAGGAAGCAGTGTCTTTGGAGCTGTCTCTGAGGTGCGTTAGGTCCTGTGACCTCCTGTTGCCATCTACCCCGGCCCCACCATCTCCGGACCTGAGCCCTGGGGCCCTGCACCCCGGAACCGGCAGCCTGAGTGTGGGGCATCTGGGCTCGGTGGGGTCGAGGCCCCCAGCCTGGGTGGATGAAGATGAAGGCAATTTGTCATTTAGGAGCTGAGGGAGGCTCCTTGCTGCGGCCCCTCCCCTTCCGCGTGACCTCTGGCCATGGCCACAGACAGAGAAACAGGGAAAGGCTTCCCGAACAGCTTAGGAAGGGCTTGTCTGCGCCTGAGTGCAGGCTGCAGCCGCCTGCCGCGGCGCGGCCCCCCCGGGAGTTGAGTGGGAAAATAGGGATCCTGGGGCCTCCAGTGTTTGTGTGGGGGAGCGTGGGAGGACGGGATGGGGTCAGATCTCCCCGGGGCGGGGGGGGGGGGGCAGCTCTGTGCTCACTCCGTGTGTGCGACCCCATGTCCTGGGAGCTACGGCGGGAGGGAATCCCCCCCGTGGGCTGTGTCCGAGCTCCCGCCCAGGAGGGACCCGGAGCGGGTCGCCGGTGGGGACCAGGGCGGGTGGAGGGGGACAGGGCGGAAGAGAGCTGTGTCTTTAAGACTGTGCGGTGGTTATCCGTACTTTTCTCTCCTGTGAATGGGTTTTGCTGTAAATTACAGCTCTGCCCCTGGTCCCTTGGGTCAGAAGAACTGGTCTCCAAACAGAAACCGCTCCGATTGGCGCCCTGCGCTTCCCTCCCAGCCCCTTCCTAATTGAAACCAAATGTGCGGCGTGCTGGATGCTGGGAGCCTGGCGCCGGCCCAGGAATCCTCAGAATGCGAGGTTTCTCGCAAAGGCATCTTGCATCAGCCCCGTGGATGTGCCGCCGCGGCCGCCGGCTGAGCGGGCGGCCTTCACACCCCGCTCGGCTCTCCCTCCGGCCGGACCGGGACCACAGCTCCGTCCTCGGCCTCTGCCCGCAGCGCGCACTCCTGGATGAGCGTAAGTTCCGCGTGGTTTTTTCTTTCCTTCGTTTCTTTCTTTTCCGCAAACGAGAGCTTTGACTGTGCTTCTGGCGTCTCCGGAAGAGTTTACAGAGGAGGCCGGAGGCGTTTCTTCAGGTGGGGCCGGGGGCCGCGGGGCGGCTCCCGGAATCCAGGCCTCCCTGCTCCAGGCGCTGGGCTCTGGTTCCAGGGAAGGTCGGCAGAGCTGCGCCGAGGGCCAGGCAGCCACGGGCCAGGCAGCCGCGGCGGTGGAGGCAGGCCTGGACGCGGAGCCCGGCCCCGGCTGGCGGAGGCGCTGGGCGGGAGCGGGGCTGGCACTGGCCTTTGAGGCCCCAGTTTGAGAGAGGATGTTCCCTGGTGCTTTGTTTTGGGGGCAACTCGGGCAGAGGGGTGCCTCGCCCCGAGGTTCTGTGGCGGGGCCTGCGTGGACGCGATGGGAAAGCCCGCTGCCGTCCTGGTCCCCGCGCCGGCCTGGCGACGCTGCCTTTGTCCCAGGACTTGGGGCTGTTTGCCTTGTTGGCTGTGGGACCTCTAAGTCGTGGCCGAGGCTCAGGAGTCCCATCGACAGGAAGGAGCCTGTCCAAGGGCGGCCGCCGCCAGCCATTTCAGGCGGGAGCCCTGCCGGCGGCGGGGCCTCAGCACCATTTTGCTGCTGCCTGGCCGCAGCGCCCTCGCAGGAAGACGCCCTCCCAGGAAGACGCCCTCCCAGGACGTCGGGGCCTGAAAGGCACTGGTGTCACCTGGCCTCGCCCGGGGCTGGGGGAGAGCTGGCCTGCGTGGGGCCTCTGCTTCCCGTCCCTCTGGCCCAGCTCCACGGAGCCACTGCGGGCAGCACGGTCGGACCCCGTCAGTGAGCAGGGTGCTGAGGGTGTGGTGGGGCATGATGTCTGTGGGTGCCCTGGGCTGTGTGTGGACACAAGACAGCGACCCCCAAGTGTTCACAGCACCCCAGGCTCCGCTCAGAGCTCCGCTGGTCACGGCTCCTTCTGCAGGGGGCGGCCCAGGAGGGTGAAGAGGGGAGCTGGGGGCCAGGTGCTTAACCGCAGTAGTAAGTCTGACAGCCGTGCTGCCCTTGCTGTCTGCATTTTCTAGCGGCCAGGGCCCAGCACAGCAGGTGTACAAATGATGCGATGTTGTCTGCCTGGGAAATGCTCACTCACCATCGTCTGGTCCCCATAGAAGAGCCTCGTCCTCTCGGGATGAGGACTCAGACCTGTGCCCGAGTCCCCAGCAGTGCGCCCGCCGCGCGGCTCTGAGAAGGCGCTGGGCGGCCTGGCGGCGGCTCATTCTGGGGCTCCGTGAGCGCCTCCGGCCTGCAGAGCCTGGGAGAGCCGCTGGCTCGGTGGGTGCCCCGGCCGGCACCCCTCCGACCCCTGGTCTGTGCGGGTGGCAGCCGCGCCTCGTGGTGCTGCTGCTCCGAGAGGTCCTGGACGTGGCCGCGCCTGAAGGCTCTGCAGGGCCTGCACCCCCAGTTCAGTGGGTGGTCATGTGAGCAGCCTCGGCCAGGAGGAGTGTGCCGGCCGGAGGGCGTGCGCTTGGGCGTGTGACTGACAGGGTGGCCTGTCTCCGTGGCCACCTCCTTGATGGAAGCCATCCCTGCTCGCGGTCAGTGTCCCCAGGTTTCTATCTGGGCCCGTGGCTGGCGTGGCCAGGACCCCTCCCCCAGCTGTGCCCGCGTCCCTGCGGGACCTGCGTCCCTGGTTGCTCCTCTGCGTGTTCCCGACGCAGCGTCCGCCGTGTCGCTTTGCACAGCGGGGTCTGAGGCGCTGGCACCTCCAGTGTCTTTGGGGAATTGTTGATATTTGGTTCCAAAAAGTATCGAAACAGCCGCGACGGGAAAGTGGGAGCCTTGCTGCCTGCCCCCCGCACGCTCGGCGCTGGTCTCGCAGCGCAGCCCGGCGCTGTGCTGGGGACGGCGCTGCCTGCGTCCGGGCCCCGGGGCCCCTGAGGTCTCGGCAGGCCCATCAGCTGTTGTCACCCACGAGGTCCTGAATCCGCTCAGCCACCCTGTGGGTGCAGCTCCCTGTGGTGGATGCATGGTGCTGGGTGGGCAGGTGACCGCGTGGGCGTCCACACCACGCCGTTTCCTCGCCAGACCCCGGCACCCCCTGCCCTGCCACCACCCACTCTTCCCAAGGCAGGGGCTACCCCTGGCCTCTCCCAGGCCCGGAAGTGGATGAGAGTGGGGGCCCCTGAGTGTGTGCTCACCCCTGACTACCCAGGCACCCCTTCTCAGGAGTCAGCTCCTCAGGGCAGTCAGCCGTACCAGGTCTGCCCTCCACCAGGGCCCCGCATATTCCCCCCGGCACGGGCACCTCCCCCGCACGTGGGCACCTCCTCCACTGCCCATCTCTGCCTGCGGGGCCTCCACCTTCGCTGGCATCACAGGCCCCTGGAGCTCTGTAAACAGGCAGATCCAGGCGCCACCCCAGACGGCCAAGGAGGATGCGTATGCCCGGTGACCAGGGCACCTGGACCGAGCCGCCCCCTCGGTGACCTGGTGGGTGTCCTGCCTCATGTGGGGGCCTGGAGGACCACGCGGGGTTTCGTCTTCATCTCAAGGATGGACTCAGAGTGGAGAACGTGGTCTTGGGAAGGACGCGCCTCCGGCCAGACCCTCGCGGCCCGGGGCCAGCGAGCAGGAAGCACAGGCCGGTCCGTCAGGGGACTTCCCGGGGCGGGGGCCAGTCTCCCTTCCTGTCCTAAACGACGTGGCCAGAACTAGACAGGTTTGCATGCCTGTGGCCAGAAGGAAGCTGCGTGGATGTGGTGTTTTCTGCTTCACTCCGTCCGAGGTTAACGGGACTCACTCCTGTTCGGCAGCAGGTTCAGAGCATCGACTAAGGGCGGGTGCCAGCCCCGCTTCTCAGACCCCCTGTTCCGCCTCGGGCTCCCTTCTACGCTCTGCTCCCCTGTGCCCGGCTCCATCCTCAGGCAGCCACGTTCTCCATGCTCAAAATCGCTCCTCCTTGCTTGTCCCGGGCTCTATTCTGGGTCACGTGCCCTGTCATGTGCGGCTGGGGCTGCCCATCGCGCTGAGCTCTCACCATAACTCGGCTATGGAAATGGTCCCCTTCTCTGAGACGAAGTTATGTTTCCAGAGTCAGCTCAGTCTGCGCCTGCCCCCCGGCCTCCCCTGAGCCCTCGGTGGGGGGCTCCTCTCACACCTGCAGGGCCGCTCTCCCTCGTGGAGCAGGGGACCCAGTGTCCCGAGACCTTTTCGGGGAATCCACAGGTCACCGCTGTCTTCATAGCGGCACTAGATGCTCTGCCTCTCTCTCTCTCTCTCTCTCTCTCTCTCTCTCTCTCTCTCTCTCTCTCTCTCTCTGCCACGAGGTGACGTGACATTCACTCTCGCAGCAAATTGAATCCAGAAGCAGCAGAGACTCCTGTGTCCCAGTGCCACCCTTCTCGCTAAAAACTTCTGAAAAGACGTATTTTTAGAAAAAGTCATTATTTATGTTACCACGCAGTTGTCATTTCACTGTTCCTAAATGACGAGCGCGCAGTCCTCGTGTCTTCTGCGTTGATGGACGTCACGAGCAGAGCCTCTGGACAGCCTGTGGGCCCGGTGGGTGTGGGGCCAGGAGGGGAAGAAAAGGGGATTGAGGCTGAGTCGTCCACGTACTCTCCACCCGTCTCGGGCCCAGGGCCGCACCCCAATTAGAGGTCAGTTCTGGGGTCCCGGCTAAGGGGGACGGCCCGGCCCCACAGGGCGCGGGATGCGGGACCTTTCCCGTCCCCTCAGGACCTGCCCGGACCTCTGGTTCCCGCGTCCACCTGGGTCTCTGACATTGCCATGTCATTTATTTAAAGTTGCATCTTACACAACAGCTGCCGGTGGTTTAGGGGGAAATACTGACCGGAACCACTACCAGCAGCATGACCGCCAGAGCCCGCGAGAGGCTCAGAGGCCTCAGTACTAGGAAGCCTGGTCCCGGCGGCTGCTGCAGATGGATACACCCCTTACCTCCCTGTTTCCATGTCGGCGGCTGGTCAGCAGGTCGGTCTGGGTCTGCGACTGTCAGTCAGCGGGCCCTGCATGCAGCGCTGGACTGTCCGTCAGCGGGCCCCGCGTGCAGCGCTGGACTGTCCGTCAGCGGGCCCCGCGTGCGGCGCTGGACTGTCCGTCAGCGGGCCCCGCGTGCGGCGCTGGACTGTCCGTCAGCGGGCCCCGCGTGCGGCGCTGGACTGTCCGTCAGCGGGCCCCGCGTGCGGTGCTGGACTGTCCGTCAGCGGGCCCCGCGTGCAGTGCTGGGACTGTCAGTCAGGAGGCCCCGCGTGCAGTGCTGGGACTGTCAGTCAGCAGGCCCCGCGTGCAGTGCTGGACTGTCCGTCAGCGGGCCCCGCGTGCAGTGCTGGGACTGTCAGTCAGGAGGCCCCGCGTGCAATGCTGGGACTGTCAGTCAGCAGGCCCCGCGTGCAGTGCTGGACTGTCCGTCAGCGGGCCCCGCGTGCGGCGCTGGACTGTCCGTCAGCGGGCCCCGCGTGCAGTGCTGGACTGTCCGTCAGCGGGCCCCGCGTGCAGTGCTGGACTGTCCGTCAGCGGGCCCCGCGTGCAGTGCTGGGACTGTCAGTCAGGAGGCCCCGCGTGCAGTGCTGGGACTGTCAGTCAGGAGGCCCCGCGTGCAATGCTGGGACTGTCAGTCAGGAGGCCCCGCGTGCAGTGCTGGGACTGTCAGTCAGGAGGCCCCGCGTGCAATGCTGGGACTGTCAGTCAGGAGGCCCCGCGTGCGGTGCTGGGACTGTCAGTCAGGAGGCCCCGCGTGCGGTGCTGGGACTGTCAGTCAGCAGGCCCCGCGTGCAGTGCTGGGGCTGTCAGTCAGGAGGCCCCGCGTGCGGTGCTGGGACTGTCAGCAGGCCCCGCGTGCGGTGCTGGGACTGTCAGTCAGCAGGCCCCGCGTGCAGTGCTGGGGCTGTCAGTCAGGAGGCCCCGCGTGCGGTGCTGGGACTGTCAGTCAGGAGGCCCCGCGTGCGGTGCTGGGACTGTCAGTCAGG